TTGTTTTGTCGGTTGAACTTTTCGTCGACAGTAAAAATTTTCTCGTTGGTGAAGAATATCTTCCTGGCATCATGTCTCCTCAGCAGCAATGGACAACGTTCGCGTCATAACTTACGAAGACGATCGTTTAAAAAGTAAACTTTTCTACGGCTATAGGCCTTTACCTTTAGATCATATTTCAGTATTCCGTTCACTGAATATTAGTCTGCAGAGCGAGTTTCTTCTGAGTGCGACTTGGATTTCGGCGAAGTCACTCTCCGATGATTTCGATGTTCGCAGGCGTCCTCACAGAGCGTGGTCGACCACTCCTTTGGCGATCTTGCAGAGAACTTGTCTCTTTGTAGCGCTGTATTGTGTAATAGACGAAGTTACGGCTTATAACAAAACTTTTCAGCTCGCGCAAAATCTGCATCGATTTTTTTCCCGCCTTAAATAGGGAACTAACTAACTAACAACTGTCATGTTGCACGTAATTGTTTCGTTCCCTCCATCACGAGAAAGTGTAAACAAATGAATTTGCGATACAAATAAACTAAAAGTTAACATTCCAAATTCAAAATCGGTAAAAAAATAACAGCCAGTTTTTTTTTAATTTTATTATTTTATTTTTTCAGTAAAAAGTTTGTCTCAAAACTTATGAATACACGAGGTATAAACACCTTTACGATGTTAATTCAGTACTTCACAGTTGTTATTTACTATATATATTTTTATTAATATCTGTTGTGTTACCTCATAAATAAAAAACGTTTTATTTATTTATTGTCATTTCTGGAAAGAAGAGACCTGGCGGTAGGAGAAAATCCTGTTTCAAACACAAGAGAATGAACCGGTATCAATAGCGCCGCCGAACTCTTTCGCCTTGCCCAAAATTGAACAAAATATGAGAAGCTGACTACCCACCTCCGCTAGTTGTGGAGGCACCTTAACAAGTAGAATTGCCATTTCATCGACATTAATGATAGTTAATTAATCATAATGAGAATCATATCTCACTATTGTTTTATCAAGATGCCATTGCTATAAAAACATTGTGCGCCAGTTGGACAATATAGTGGCAATATGCAATCAATTGAAGCGCCAATCAATGACATTATTATATTTACATTATCAGAATAGGTTTAGTTCCATCATCGTCTCTATGCAACGCAGTTCTTGTAAATTGGATAAGAATTTTGCGTAATCACGAGAACTGAGATTTATCAAGACGTCATTATTTTATTTGTAATGGATGGTTAATACAGTGGCAAACGAATTACAATTCGTCGAGATGCGTGTCAGATGCTATCATTAAGTTAAAATTGGTCTGATTGAGAGCCAGATTTTCAATAAAGCGAAACAAAGAAGTAGGTACCTATATTGAAGTTTCTTTTAAGAGGACACCTGAATCAAAATAACTTATTTGAAATTGATTACAAACAAAGAAAACTGTTGTCTGACATAATTTGTCCACATCTTGATTATAAAACAATTCCTTAATTGAATTAAAATATTAAAACATTACTGAAAATAGTTTTGTTTTTATACGCGTAGTTCACAGTAAAACCTATGAAACGTGTATGGTTTTCAAAATTTCATATTTGCGCGAAATCCTCTGCGCATGAGTCCGATTCGATCTTTGCCCATTTTTTTAAAATTTAGTAACATTATCTGCGGCTATGTGTACATTGACTTGACCGAGAATAAGTAGTAATTCTGCAACTCAAAGCTCCATTGGAAGGGAGCAATCCATAATATATTAAAGCTCCATTTACGATCCCATTTACACGTTTTGATACTTAACTATCTACATTTTTTTTAGAACAGTCGATAGCATATCATGTTAATTACAAAATTCCCTCCTACCAATGAAAAGCCTTAGTCTGTTGATAGTAAAGTTTAGATTTGATTGCAGTAATATGGTCTTATGTATTATACGATGTGTTGCTGTGTATACATTCTGCAAAAAAGTCCACTGTAAAAGGTTTAACGGGTTTTTTATTCAAAGCGCGCATGAAACAAGTTACTCGATTGCTCCCCATAAGAAGAAACTGGAACCTAAGTTAATCTTTCTGCAGCTTAACCTGAACAGGTGTAAACTTTTCAGGGTTCCGTATAAAAAGGGAAAACTAAAGAAACAGTTTATTTGCTTTGACACTCCAAGACTAGTTGAAACTTTAATGGATGGAGTGTAATGGATGTATTAATACAATATAATCACCGAACACTTCGGGTAGAGACGGATAAAAAACCGGCTAAGGGTGAGGTCGTACCGAAAACGAACAAAAATATCACGTTTGTTGTGTGAGAGCCCCTTTAAATATTTATTTTATTCTGTATTTGTTGTTGAAGCAGCAACAGAAATATATCATATGTGAAAATTTCAACTGTCAAACTTTCACAGTTCATTAGATTCAACCTGGTGACACACAGACAGACAGCGAAGTCTTAGTAATAGGGTTCCCGATTGATCTATTGGGTACGGAACCCTGAAAAGGTCACGAACTAACATTAAGACTTATGGAATGGTCATGTTTTGGGAATCTAAAAATATATGACTGTGAATATACGATATCCAGCAATTTCCTAACCCAGCATCTGCAAGATTAGTTGTTCACCACCCGCCCGTCCTCAAGCAAATGACCAATGGCACACGCGTCAACCAATTTCGCATCAACAACTCTACTATAATTTATTTTCAATAATAGATTTGAAGTTATCAGTTTATTCATACGTGAATCAAAGAAAGCTTTTTACGTGAATTGCTTGGATAGTGGTGTGTTTTATGTATTTTATATAGAATAGCTTTCCGCCAGTGGCTTCGCCTGCGTGGTCTTGTATTATACATAAAAACCATCCTTTTGAATCACCCTATCTACGAAAAAAACCGCATCAAAATCCGTTGCGTAGTTTTAAAGATTCCATGCAGTGATTGAATAGAAAAGTATAGAATGTTTTTTGAATGAGTTTCGACCACTAGGTGTCCCGTTCACTAATTTATGATAGGCAACTATTGACCACATCCCTGGAACTAACACTGAATCGATAATAGATGTAGATATTACAAGTATTTTTACGTATAAATAAATTAATATATAGAATACAGCAATACGGAATCCTAGGTGCACGAGTCGAATTTACCATCTTATTATCATTAATTAACAGCTATTCGCTAGAGTTTCTCTATTAAATAAATTGAACTGTGATTGCATTTACTGAAGAAAAAATCACTGTTTCCGTGGCAAGCTATTATAATTTAGTACAATCTCGGAAAACTGGAACTCCAGGATTGGACTCCACAATCATGTGTACTACATTGAAACTTCAGTAGTGTAACGTCCGTGCACATTACTATAGGTTGGTTTACTCTCTGACGATTAATGGTCAATGCTGGCCGCTCATATTTTGAATTATTACTTTTCCATATAGATAAAACGGGAACCCTTTTACTAAGACTTCGCTGTCTATTTGTCTGTCACCAGGCTGAATCTCATGAACTGTGAAAGTTAGACAGTTGAAATTTTCACCTATGATATAATTCTGTTGCTGCTTCAACAACAAACACAATAAAATAAATATTTAAAGGGGCTCACACACAACAAACGTGATATTTTTGTTCGTTTTCGGTACGGACTCGCACTTTTCTTCGCCGTTTAAAATGTATTAATACATCCATAACACTCCATCCATTAAAGTTTTGAACCGATCTTGTAGTATCAAAGCAAACAAAATGTTGTTTCTTTAGTTTTCCCTTTTTATACGGAACCCTGAAAAGTTTACACCTGTTCAGGTTAAACTGTAGAAAGATTAACTTAGATTTTTAATAGTGGAGTTCTTTTGCAAAATGTATACACAGCAACACGTCGTATAATACATAAGGCCATATTATGGCAACCAATTCTAAACTGTACTATCAACAGACTAAGGCTTTTCATTGATAGGAAGGAATTTTGTAATTAACATGATATCATCATTTATAATAGTAATAAATCTTTCTTTCTGATCCAGACCGGCATAGAGTCAGTATCTTAGCATTTAGTTATAAGTGATTCGATGTATGTTTTTCGCAAATAAAATCAAGACTGAAGAATTATACCAGTATTTCATTGCGCCATCCAGAGCTACTGCTGATCCTAACATAAGAGTAGTATGACTTGCCGTATGTACCTGTTATTGGACAACCTCGAAAGTTGGGGCAATGCATTAATTTAAACCAATATTACTTCATAAACATTTTATTCCTCTCATTCGCCGTTCATTAGCGTTACATTTCTGCCATCTTTCATTTTATTGCCAAACTATAAAAAACAATACTGCCGTAGTATTTCGCAAGATACACAGTCAATGTTCTTACATTTAAATTTTGAAAATTATTACATTGAGTTTGTTTAATCATAATTACCTTTTAGGAATACACAAACATATAGTTAAATGAATTCAGAAATTACTTTTTATAATAAGTACCCTTTTTTATCAATGCATACTTAAATCAATATCATACTACTTTTTAATTACCCTGTCATTAACATTTATCTTTTCTTTGTAACAATATTGATAAAATGCAATAATTAATAATAATTTGTACTGTTTGAGAATACAAATACACTAACACGTGCGATCATGGAAATTACGTGTTTAAATAGTAACATTTCGTACAATTGCATTCAAGTATTGTGATTTTACAAGTATTTCTTTATAAATTAAAATAATAAGTATAAATATAATAATAATATATTTACACTATTTACGTAGAAGGCTTTTCGAAGCGCGGCACTTCTGGCTAATTAGAAAATGCTTTTTTACTCAGCAGCACGCTATCGCAAGATCCTGTTACTCCCGTCAATTGTTACACGATGAAAACTTAGCTATATTTTACACATTGTATGGCAATTAAAGATTAACGACACGCCGATTAGTCGGATTTTACAGTAATATCTTCCGGTCAGCAGTATCAAGGTTGAAAATATTAAAAACTTGTCTTAATTGTACATTAACTGACATGTGCCGTCGTTTGTTGTCAGGTGGGGTCAGGCAGATGCAGCTCCCCGGGCACAGGGCCCCTGTCCCCGGCGGAGGGCCCCCGGTGGCCTCACGTGCACCACCCGCACCCGCTGCATCACGCACTACTGTCATCCAGCGTGAAGCGCGGGAAAGACCTGTGAGTCTCAAATTATCTTCTTTTCTTCACTTAGAAAATGAGATATGTGCTAAGAATTGTTTGCAATTGCTGTGTGACTATAATCCAAATTCGTTGTATGTATGTTTGCAATCTATATTGTTTCTCTATCTAGCCCAGTGTTTCCTAACCTAGGGGTAATTACCTCCGCAAGGGTAAAACGGCAATTCTAGGGGGGGGGGGGTGACAGAGTTGGCACGAAAAAGTATTAAAATAATAAACAAAATAATAGTACGGTAGCTAGTCGACTCTTGTTACATTAAAAACAAAAGCCAGAAACTGTCTGAATGTGGAGCATGACATGATATGCACGTTGAGTGAAACCGAATCTAATATTGTTAAACTTGCGAATGCAAAGCAATATCAACCCGAGATTTATATATTACTTGTTACCTAAACGTGCAATTTCTTACCTAATAAAGATATTTTTGTTCGAATTTGTGTGGTTGAATTATTTTAAAATAGTTAGGGGTAAACTCAATTGCCATACTTGTTCACAGGGGTAGTGACATTGAAAATGTTAGGAAACACTGCAACCTTGCAACCTTGGGCTAGATTGTAGCCCAAGGTTGCTTTTATCCACCCAGGATGTGTTAAGCTATATTCCTAACTCCTATGAGTGCATCTGATACACAATCATATGCATAGGTTAAGATAATTTAGCACTGGTGGATACTGTTTTAACTAATCTGTTTATTATATTTGATCAATTTTGCATTCATAATGCTATACTGAAGAATATTTTTAAGGGAAATTGCTATAAAAATCCAATTTCGCAATGCGGGCTACTGCTCTACCACTGAGTTACCCAGCACGCATAGCATGACAAACTCGAGAAATGCTTTCCCTACACTCATTTGTCAATTCCTCGGGCTGAGAGTTACTTTAATATTTGTGTTATTATATCATTATTAATGTGCCAATATTTATCTAGCCAATAGTTCATATAAATTAGAAGCTATTATTTTTAAATGATTCGCTCATTTAGCGCATACCTGGGGCTGCAGTCTCGACATTAATAGCGATACGATCGCAAGTTAACGAATGTCAAATATTAACGAAAATAATTGTTTGCGGTAATGATCGTTACTTCAAATGCAAGTCTCTATTACCGAGTTAGCGAGCAAAATCGTAAACTATTCAGACGCTAACATATCGAAAATCTGTATTCATAGTGCAGTTTCCTAAAGGAGAAAATGTTGCCTCTGACAAAAGTATTTTAAATCTAAGGAAATCAAAACAACGTTTATTGTTTATAAGTAATGATTTCATGTTCAATTTAGCAAATAAAAAAAATAAAAAAATGCGTACTAGAAAATTATTGCTTTTTATTTATTTTAAAAGTATAATTAATTATTAAATATATTAAATCAATTTGATTATTATTGGAAATTAAAATTTGTTTCCTTGCAACATCTTGATGTCATCGATATGTCAAAACATTATTGTTTATTACGGTTACGCTGTTTCGTGAAAAACTTCACATAATTTATTGAAATAATTTGTGTTGTGAGTCATGGTGGGAGATTCAGATGCGGAGTCACACGTGCAGCAGGCTCCGCGTGCTCCAAATATTGCTAAGTATGCACTTTTTTGATATGATTTTTACTTCTCTTCTATTAGAATATATTACTAACGTAATGCTAATTATTATTTTAGTATGCATTGGCAATACGGCTCCCAATACTCAAAATGAGGTGCAGTCAAGAAGGAAGAGAAGTTAGTACAATCTCTATGTTTATTGTTCATACTGCGATGAATATTATAAATATTTATAATGATAAATATTTTTATACTGTTTTTTTAGATCTCAATTCTCGCCGAAGTGTTGCAGAGCAACACGATTAAACTCAATTTCTCGCCATTGGAGAGTCAAATGCGGAATCAATGAAGGTATGTTTACACAATCTTTATTAAATATGATTTTGTTATGTATTTGAAATGAATTAATTAATAGATAAACAAAAATACCCAAACACATTATGAATTCAACAAGATTGAATATGAGACTAATACCTATATATGGATAAAGAGAGTCCCACATTTATATAGTTTATTTGTTATAGATGCTGGCAGCTGCATCAAAATTTCAGACAGAGGCTGCAATGAAGCAGGCCGAAGCTTCATTGATTCATGCACAGGCAATGAGTAAAATAAATAAAAGTGAATTTACAACTTATATGGTCGTTTTTAATTTGTACATCTACCTACATAAAATATATTGAAATAAAAAATAATCTTAGGTATAAAAACGTTCGATCAATCTTCTGCTAATTCTATATAGCATAAGAAATTCCGTCTCATCTAAAGCCAAAGGATTTTGGAGACATCGCCTGTTTCTGGCTATTTGCCGTCGCCTTACCATTAGGTGTATCGACGGCGAATAGCCTATGTTCAAGCAATGTCAAATCTAATGCTAAATAGGCTTCAGCCATCACGTTTTAAATATCTTTATGACTAAATTTTTCGATATATATACCTCGAAATACCGTAAAATATCGAAAAAAATATTATTAGCGATCGCAAAAGTCACTTATCGAGCTGTCAAATTTGGTCGCTAAGGAGCTAGCGAAATTCGTTAATTTGACAGTTGAACTCGCTACGCCACCGACAAAAATCGACAACTTTAAATGTAGAGACTTGCAATATTCGTTAAATTACGATCGCTATGAGTTAGCGACCGAATTCGATGACATTGCGTTCGCAAACTGTGTCGAGACTACCGCCCCTGAAGTTCGCTATAAATCCACAATTTCCCGGTGCGTTTTCTATCGCGTGCATTTAACGTCGAAGCCAAGTATATTTTCGGAAATTCCTGGTGTAATGCCAATGGTCTTAGTGCATAATTTCTCGACATGTATACATACACCGTATTTTAATAAAACACATAGTTTCATGACCTTGAATAGTTAAATGTCACAGTGCACCGTATTCTGGAAAATTGGAAGGGAACAAAATTTACTCATTTAAATATAAACGATAACAATGTTTACTCTAAAAATCATTTTCCTCAGTGCCAGATTTTCTATATGTAGCGTATTGAATTGTAAATTGTTGGCAGACTTATTAAGACTTACATTGACATAGAAATATATCTTTGCGGTTCTACCGCCGCTGGCGTTTCCAGACTCCTATTGCGTACGCTTATATGTGCGCGTAAGCTATAATATACTTTTAACGTAGTAGACCCACTATTTTTTTTTCCTATATTTTTGCTTCCACAGTTGTGGTTTTAATACTAAATTAACAGCGTTGTGCTCGTGTTTACATGTCTAACTCTGTAAGAAATAAGGATATGTAAGTATCCTACGAGTACTTTACAATGTAGTACATAGAATTAGACCTTGATTCTGATAATAATTCCCAATCAATTTCTTTTTCATTATGTGTCCATTACTGATCTGCAGACATTCAGGAATTACGTAGGGAGAACGAATTCATAACCAAATACGTGGTTGCGACTGGTATAGAAGGACGCTATGGTGCGCATTGGTGGCTGTTAATCACCGAAGATGCAGTAGGAATCAACGGATTAAGACTGTCCAGAATAATGCGCAAATTAGATGCCTTTGCTTGTTAACAAGGAAAATTTACCCCTTCTGGACAAGGTTTTAATGTGCTTCGGAAAAAACGGAACATGAAAATGCCATTGATATTTAATAATACAGAATTGGGAATCAGAAAGTAATGCTGGAAATTCGCTTTTAAAATAAGATATTCCATAAGGTCTGGTTCATACTGTGATTCTAATCATAGTAAATGATACGTTTCGATTTTAATGGAGACGAATCATCTTGAATGGATTGAAAGTGTGCTTCTGTAATAATTCTACATTAAACAATTGAAAGCTTTGTTAGAACTCTTGTTTCATTAAAATAATGAATTATTAGATTGGAAGAACGATTATAAGCTTTTGTATAAAATATGTGTGTTTTGTTTTGTACAGCGATGGCCGCAGGTGGTCCGTGGCGTCCCTTCCCTCCTCCGGGTACGGAACGACACCAGGCAGTTCGAGCTTATCAGTAAGTTACTTCTACATATCTAGCTATATCTTCACGCATCCTGCGTCATCCTTTGCGGAGTAAGCCACTGCCACTGTGCATTATTTACACGTGCTTCCTTTACGTTAATTACTCGTTACAATTTCTAATAAATCATATTATAATTATTAAAACAAACCAGCTTGAAGCTGAGATAAAAAAGCAGTTAATAATCATTTATATTGAGACAGAACATAGTCGGTTACAACGGAGAAGGAAAACAAATTTGTTTCATAACGGTTCCAGCTTAGCGTATACTGTTCTTGTGCTCAGCGCTGATATTCCAAAGGAGCCGATTTCGGACATATCGACATTGATTAAGATAGTCAAAATTCACCTTTCACGACCATGCTGATCCAGTCATGACTTATTGCCATGCTTATTGCTAATATAAACTATTTTTTTAAATTTTCTCTGTTCAATAAATAAAAGTTAATAGGAATATACTGGCAAATGTGAAATCTTGAGTCGAAGTTTTATGAGTCTTATTGAGGTCATTTTTTGTGTAGTTATTTATTAAACTAGTTTATTCAATTGAAACGTGAAATTCTCTTTGAATAAACTTACGAAATATTGCCATCGGCATACCGTTTTAGCAATATCCGATATTGAATTTTTGTAAAGTAACATTAACCTATGTATTAAAAACAAATAATATTCGTTAATTCCAGTTCAGTAGGTCACAGTGGCATACATAACTCTTATTATTATTTATAAAGAGAAAATGAAATCATGTGTGTAAAGGTATTTATTAGGTCAAAACGTGAATATCGTAAAATATTATTAGCGGGAAATTTGTGAAATTGCCTATGATATTCATATTTTATTCGTTTTATTTTCTTGATAATAGTTTTTATAAGAACAGTTGATAACTGTGAATCACTGTAGCCAAGGCAACTTTTTCAAACCAGAGCAGAAACTTTATTGAGATGACTCTTTCTCTCCAGAATCTAAGATAATTTGTTAAAAAATACTCTCGGGAATATTATGGATGGCATTTATTTCTTTTTGGTTCCGGCGCTGAGCCGTGAGTCCTTTAGCGAAGAAGTAAAGGTCCAGTCTGTTGTCAACATTGAAATATTGACAGCAGGGATAAAGTATCTCTGATTGCGCATCGTCCAGTGACCGACAGACAGCGAGGGGGATTATCCTGTGTAACAAATTGACGGTTTCCCGCCAAAACACTGCGCTTGGACCCGCGGGCACTCTATATGAATCGACGTTTTAAATTAATCTTTGTGGAACTCGATGGACGTGGAAGAATCGAGCTATTGACTCGGATTGAATAAAACACACTTAAACATTCATTACAATTGATTGTGTGCACGGAATTGATTTTGTTTGACGTATGAACTTCAGCGAGTTACTGGGTATGATCAAACAAAAGAGGACTTTAAATGGACACGTTGACTTGAAAATAAATATCAATAAAGTAACGCGCTAGACCCACTGCTCGTACTCTGATAATTCATTTTATTGTGTTGTATTTAAAGTAAATTTTTACGTTTAATTCGTAAACAATCCTATACATTATATCGGAAATCATAATAATAAGTCATCCCATTATCATTAATAGTAACATTATTAATTAAATGTGGATCTACGGCCTATACAAAAAATCTTAAAGGCAATAATACTGACATACCTACAAGTTGATGTGATAGAGACAATGGCGTATTGCAGGAAATAGACCGTCATAAACTATTTTTGAATAATTACTAGCAAACTGTTACTGTTTAGGTCTATTGAATATTAGAAAATAATAATATTCTAATAATCAATAATCATTATTTTTAATTTCAATCTTTATTTTAAAGATAAAGTAGAATGGCGAAAGGCAAAGAGTAAGTAAGTGAAGAAAAGTATAGTGTTATGTAGGGGATGTGAGATTTGCCTAATAATTTGAGATGACAAGTTATATTTTCTTACAACTTTGATTTATATGTTTGCAGTCGCAATGCTCGTCGCAGGAGCGGCTGTTGGCGGTGCAAGCGCCATGCGAGCCGCCCCCGCGCGCCCCCTGTCCCCACTGTCATCAACACCAGAACTCGTTGAAGTAAGCACTACTAAGACATCCTATGTGATACACATAGAGAATTTAATTACGTATCTCTAGTCATTTTATTGAGTAGCACCTTTCAACTATCCGTCTAAACTTCAATTAGCCGAGCGGTTGAACATATCGTCAATAATATAGCTAGACGGGCGCCATCGGGCTCTGTACCACGATGTACATCTACTTAATTAATGGGTCTCTGTTATGCAGCAGTTCGCAAGGCAGCGGTATGAACAACTGGGCGTCGCTATCAGACAGCGGTGGCAGCGGTCACACAGCGGCCAGAGCGCCCTCGCCGCAGAGTCCCGCGCGGCGCGTGCGCAGCAGAAGTCTTAGGTGAGATATACAGAGTCAACGCAGTGTTCAAGTACATTCATACTCAATTAAATTAGCGTGTCATGTCATATTGTTTTGTGCTACCAGACGTCCAATTCTAACGCGTAACTGAAACCACGATTGAAATGTTATGAAACCATGAATGATCCGTCCAATCCTATCTTTTGTAAGGTGATTTAGGGCTGTATTTTGATATATCTGGGCTCTTGTTATAGCGGTAAACCCGCTGATCGACTGTTGTATGAAACATCCGTTCTGACATTATATTTTTACACGAATGTAAGTATGTTCTAATTGTTTCTTGCGACTTCACCCATGTAAATTATAACTTATGCCACCTGCGTATGATGTTAGGTCCCGTAGGTGAAAGAATTCTAATATCGGTCCAGTTCGGAGCGTTTGAAATGCAATCAAAGAAACAATAAAGGTCTCCTCTTTATAATATTTTATGGATGATTTGCATATTTCATTTGTTCTCGTTTTGCCATCAGTTCTCCGTCTCGTTCGCCCGGCGGCGCCGGTTCCAGTGGTACGGAGGGTTCGAAGGATGATGCTGTCTCAGCTATGTCTGCACTATTCGCAGCCAGATTTCCAGCCGCACAGAGAGCTATGGACGACAAGTGAGCATATTAAGATATTTCTTTCACTCATTTTTATTGTTTGGTTATTGTTTTATCAGTGGTGATCGCTCGTACCTCATATGATCGCCATCGATTAATATAAATGAGCAATTTTACTCCAAAAGTTGCTGAATGATCGGTTTTCAAAATATATATAATTGTATTTTTTTTATCATACTTTAGTAATTATTTTAGTACGTTGGTAGTAGAACTAGGAGGTGTTCCCAAAAAGCCTAAAAGTTAAAATTTATGAAAAGGTTATAAAGTTATGTTACCATATGTAGACAGCGGTACATTATTTATTTATTCGGTATAACAATAGCCATAATTTTACCATAATATGATTTTTTTTTTCTGTAGTTTTTGAACTATACGTCGCAATAAATTAATGTTTAAAATCAAGTAGAGATAATTAATAGAATTGTATAACTTAATGTGGTTTTGACTGTACCACACTTGTTTATAATCATATTAATTACAGATTGAGAGCACTTATCGAAGAACTGACTGAATTAGATAAGAAGCCCGATCGGCCGCCCATAGAGAGATTTGTGCAGAGACAGGTAATATGTACAAACAATCTTGATCCGATCTTTTTTGTTTTTACAACAGTATACAATATCATAAATGGGGAAAAGCATGCAAAGATTCTGAAACGTTTGAAATATTAAAAAACTTATAAAATACATAAGTATGAAAGTTGTTTAATTAGGGTTTGTACCCAAAAGGTAAAACAGAACCTTCTTAGTTAGACGTAGATGCTGTACGTCTATCTATCACTAGGTCAGCTTTTTATGAACTGTGAATAGATATACAGTTGAGATTTTTCGATTTTTACAGTTGATGTGTACTGTTGCCACTATGACAGCTAATATTAAAAAACGGAATACATTAAATATTGAAGCTCCCGTCCAAGTGAGCTTAAATCAATCTGTCCCGTGCAAATGTTAGTTTTTGCACTTTTTACGGATAATCCTTGGTGTTCGAGTCCGGTTCGCATTTGACCGTTTTTATATCAGTAGTGGACGCAGATGTATAAGAAACGTCAAAATAAGACGCAACTCAATTTTAAATCTCAGGTGTTGGAGATGGCGCGGGACTGTCTCCACAAATCAGAGTCTAAACAGGTCACCAGCACCTATTTCTACGATATGGCAGATAGCTTGGATCGATTATTGGCAGAGGTGCGTATTCTTGTTGAAGTATCTACTATTGTAAATAAAATATTAGGTATGTAAAGAGTTTAATAAGTAAATAATTATTGCTACCTAATTAAATATTGAAACTAAATGATACTACTAACTGAATTTGAATTTTGATATTTCTTATGTAAAATCACAGCATCTCGCAAAATTACTATTAAAAGTTATTTACAAAACAAAATCTTAAATTACCTTCGAAAAAAAAATTTCTCGTATTCTTATGAAGTGAGGAAGTTTTAAAAAAAAAACGAAAGCACTAAAAAGCACTCCACTAGATGGCGACTCTAGCAAATGTTGATTTTTGCAGGAAACGAATAGACCAAAGACAGTCATTTCCGTTCCTATTAACTAACATATAAAAAAAATGAAATTGAACTAATTTTTTGATTTAAATACTTCCTCATTCTTTTTTTAGATAGACGAGGGTGTATTCTCCAGATCGAAAGAGAGCGTGTGTAAAAAGTAGCAACAATCGTTATGCGTAATGATTTTGACGTTTGCCAGACCCGCGAGAAGTCGGCGGAGGCGGGCGCGCGCGTGGCGCCGCTGGTGACGCGGCTGGTGCTGGCGATGGCGCGCCCCGCGCGGCTGCTCGAGTGCCTCGAGTTCGACCCCGAGCGGTTCTACAGGCTGCTGGAGGCCGCCGAGGGGCACGCGAGACATCTACAGGTACAAGTGCACGCCGCTAGAGGCCGCCGAGGGGCACGCGAGGCATCTACAGGTACAAGTGCACGCCGCTAGAGGCCGCCGAGGGGCACGCGAGGCATCTACAGGTACAAGTGCACGCCGCTAGAGGCCGCCGAGGGGCACGCGAGGCATCTACAGGTACAAGTGCAGGCCACTAGAGGCCGCCGAGGGGCACGCGAGACATCTACAGGTACAAGTGCACGCCGCTAGAGGCCGCGAGGGGCACGCGATACGTTTTGTCAAAGTAAAAGGAAAATGAACCTAAACTGTTTAGGATATATATCTATCGGGTTTAGGATATCTATCAATGGTTAACGTACTAAATTCATAAATAAATATATTTTAAGGAATGTTGTTAAATTTTGAACCCTATTTCAGGGTATAACGACGGACATTCCCCAGTATATAATTCACAAGTTGGGATTATCGAGGGATCCTTTGGCTGAGCTACACGCCCCACCGCCGCCGCCTCCACCTCAGAACACATCGCCATCCAAGTAAGATAACTCTACATTCTATAGTGGGTACATTATGGTAATTCTTTTGAGAAAACTAGATTTAGGGTAGCTCTTTTCCTATTGTAAGCTCCGTCGTGTAACGTAAAAATTGACAAATATATGATATCCAACCTTGCACACTCGATAGATGTGTATTCAATTCATCGACCCAACTAACGCACACTTCCATTGATATACTAGTCGAGTTTCCGTTAAATTTGCACTAACTCTTACAAGTTTTAATACTGACAATCGGCGTTTTGAAATTTATGAAGAACTCGGATAAATATTTACGTTTATTGTTTTTGTATAATAACTGATGTTATGATTTTGATAGAGTGCGAGGCAGACAGTCTCCCCCGGGGGCGCCGGGCAGCGGGGGTGCTCCGCCCTCTGAGAACGATTATCAGGTCATCAAGCTCATCTCCAACGGGGCTTACGGCGCTGTCTACCTCGTCAAACACAAACAAACAAGGCAGAGGTAAAGACAACATTTATAGAATCGCCTAAGGTGAAAATCCATTTTGACAAGGGGCCATCTAACGACATTAAGCATTTGCGTAATATGACAAATCCCGAATATAGAAAAGAAAATTTAAATAAAATTTAATTCGTAAGATAAGGCGATTCGTAAGATAAGGCGTTTCCTAGTAAGGCTATGCCTTTTTCTGGAGTAGTGAAAACGGGTCTTATTTATATCATCAGGAGTATTACAATCATCAACTGCGATTATCATGAAGTTTCCATGGAAATAGTATAATATTTTTTTATTTTATCAACAGGTACGCCATGAAGAAAATAAGTAAAAACAATTTAATATTGAGAAATCAAGTGGAGCAGGCGTTCGCCGAAAGGGACATATTGAGCTTCGCAGACAACCCTTTTGTAGTGAGTATATATTTATAATGGGAAAATGGTCGGCGTGTTAAGAGGTTAAGCAATTTTTGGTAGAAGTCGGTCGTAATAGTAATTGATTTAACAAGGAAGGGCAGGGGTAAGGCTTTGATTACTCAATCAATGTACTTGAGTTAAGTAATCGGGATGGGGTATATAATATTTAACACAATATTTCCGAGAAAAAATAAAGCTAAATTACTGTTTTTTCTTTTGTTACAATACCCCAAATTTGCAGTTAGTCAGCAAACTATTCTGATTTGGGTTGCCTAATATTTTCATAAGATATTTTTTTTGTATCCATGGTGTTGACAATAAAGAGTTATTCTATTCTATCAATCGAATAGGGATGTCGACAATTTTTTTTGTAGTAGATTATTGAAGTTAATATCTATATAGTATATATAGATATTTTTTTGTTTGCAATAAAAAAAAATGTTGCATGACGTCACGCTTTTGTACATTTTATACAAAACTGTGACGTCATCCTTATTGCTAATATATTAATACTAATAATATAAATAGGTAAAGTTTTTTAAAAACAAGTTTTCCGCCAGCGCCTCCTTGGCATGAAAAGTAGCTTATATTTTGATTCATCATCCCGAAAAGTAGCCCACAGTAAATTTTAAAGATGATTAGTGAATAGATACGTTTAATAAGGGTTGTGCCGTTACTTGTCAGGTGACTATGTACTGCTCGTTCGAGACGAAGCGCCACCTGTGCCTGATCCTGGAGTTCGTGGAGGGCGGCGACTGCGGCACGCTGCTGCGCGCGGGCCCGCTGCCGCACGACATGGCGCGCCACTACTTCGCGGAGGCCGTGCTGGCCGTCGAGTACCTGCACTCGTACGGCATCGTGCACAGGGACCTCAAGCCCGACAAGTATTACGCACTGTATACTCACTATATTGCACCTCGACAATTACAATGTCACTAACCGAAAACGACGTACTTTTTTACATTTGGCAACATTCTCTTTGTTAAGTATAATCTTTAAAATGCAATGATCCCTGTGAACGTAGTTTGTATAGAAACTGCTAGGTGGCATAGGCGTTACCTGGGACTTAAGTTTTAAGATACCGGGTACCGGACTACGCGCGAGGGTGGTACGGGGGGTTTTGCAAGGTAGGTCCACTGCACTGGACCGCCGTCCCTTGCAGTGGGAGAGTCCGGGATTAGTCGGCCCCTCGCCCGGGTCCGACGAAATGTTAAGGCCAGTTCCCCTCGGTATATATAAAAAAAAGGTGGCATAGGCGTGGTGGCGTAACGATACGTTGTTTAGAGGGGGCGGATAACAATTTCTTGATTTTTAAACGCTCATTACTGAAAATTGTATTTTTTGCATTGTGTCACTATCGTTCTCAGCGTGTTGTTTTTCAAAAGTTATATAAAGTATACTGGACTACTAAGATGTAAAAGATTTCAAAAGTTGCAATGCAAATGAACTCCGCATGAGAATATCGCAATCGTTGAAAATTAATTTTATGCCTAACTAGATTTTGTATTATACATAAAAACCAACCATTTGAATCACCCTATCTATGAAAAAAAAACCGCATCAAAATCCGTGGCGTAGTATAGGGGCAGAGAAAGCGACTTTGTTTTATACTATGTAGTGATTTCATAAAAATTACCTAAACCAAAGATTTTCTTAAGCACATTTTTACTTTTAGCTACTAGTGAGCACATTTTCATCAATATTCAGGAAAATCCAACCAAACCACCTAAAGAAATGTTTCTACTAATATTTTAAACTGAATAAGATTAAACTTATTTTTCTAATTGACAAGTTCGATCATAATAACATTGTGAATGCAAAATTCATTAATTATAGTAATATTATGATGTTTTCTATATTCCAGTTTGCTCATCACGGCCACAGGACATATTAAGTTAACAGACTTCGGGCTCAGTAAAATGGGATTGATGTCATGTAAGTAATTATCATCATAATGGGGCATAAGCTTGCCCTATAAAAAGAGACAGAGAATGGGCGCTAATTCGTTATTAGTGAGTGTTAACGATTGGCTACCAAACAGCTTGAGTGCTCTCTAACGCTCGATATAATATATTTTTAGTCACTCGATGGTACATCCATGCATGAGTAATTAATTAGAAATAATTTTTGACGCTCTGTTATGCGAAAATAAACCTTTATCGTATTTATTTTATTGTCATATTTGCGATTTTTGCAAGTTACTCTGGTAAGCTTGACAGATCGTACAGAGCTTAATTTTGACAAATGAATCAGAGTTTCAGTTAATCGTTAGAGCCGGCATTAATTTGCTCTTATTTTCTTTTTTTCATATTGCAATCAATTCTCTGTTGAATGTTTCTATAGTGGCGACAAATCTTTACGAAGAGTACGCTGACCGCGAGGCGAGACAGTTCTCCGACAAGCAAGTGTGCGGCACTCCGGAGTACATCGCGCCCGAAGTCATATTGAGACAAGTTAGTATACTACTAATATGCACCATAATACATAGACAATAAGGTTCTTATTCGAAATAAACGTACCTATGCAATTTCAGTCTATTATAATAATTTACGATACTGATACAGATGACGCCAAACAACTTGAACAAATGACCTTGCATGCGCAGAAACCGATTTTAGGCGTCGCGGTATGCGGTGCGGGGCGCGGCGTGCGGAAGTAGGATCGCATCGACCGCGCCAATCCACGCTATTGGTGGATCAGTCAACCATCGCTTCCCGCTTTGTGTTCACGTCTCATCGCTACTTCAGTACACTTGCAGGCAATAACATCACGACCTCAAAATATGTCTCGTCGACAATCAAACACAGTTTTAAAAAGGCAAGCCAGAAAGATGGTATACGATGTGTATTGCTTTTTAAAGAAAGAAGAAACATCCGATTTTGAAACAATGAAACAGACATCGGAGGCTCGTAATTTCTCACTACTACTATACACGCAGCTACTTACTTCACGTGTATCATTCGTGTGCACGTTTACCACTCAGTCACTCATACAAATAGGACAGAAAAAATACAGAAATAAATAGTTAACGTAGGAATAAGAAATTCTAATGCATAGGTTTTTTTGCTCGTAAGTGTACATGCGCAAACTTTCCCCCACCACCACACTTTTTGTTCAAGTTGTTTGGCGTCATCTGTAATAGTAGATTAGTAGGAATATATATTTATATCTTCCGGTCATTTACCGGTCATTTTGTTGCTAGCATAATGAGTCGTTCTTTAGATATACATTGACATGGGTAATTTTTTTATGGGTGACAATACTAACGGATTGAATGAACGGAACGAACTATATACCATTCTTGACATTAGAAACTTGTTCCAAATATCAAATAGACAAAATAAATCTGGAAGATACCAACAGTGTAGTATTGTATGGTTGTTGTGTTGTGCGCACTATGCTTTATCTTTGCTGGAAATAAAAGCAATTTTTGATATGGTGAATACAGTGCAATTCCGTAATAAAAACAGCTCGATAACGAGCGCAGCAATGTTACAAAATGGAGGTTTAATCAAATAATACCTAGATTAAAGGGTGATATATGATTTATTACATTGAATCTTTATGATGTGACAGCGCTCATGATGTGATTTCCTTCAACAGGGTTACGGAAAACCTGTGGATTGGTGGTCGATGGGTATTATATTATACGAATTCCTCGTGGGATGTGTACCATTTTTCGGGGAGACTCCAGAGGAACTGTTCGCGCACACCGTCAACGGTTAGTATTATTTAATCTGTGTAAAATGAAAATAAAAAAAAATGAATAAAACGAATCTTCATGTACATTAAATATAGAAATTTATAGATCTCATAATATAAATTGAAAATTTCAATTTAATATCTAATTTACAAATCAAATAGCCTAAATAAAGCACTTACGACTACACACGGACTCTGAGATAATACAGATGTTTAATTTCCACGCTCTCCAGAGAATTGTGAAAAACATTATTAGTATTCGTGAATTTCTTTTGTTTTATCTCGACAGCGTGTACTTACGCCGTTTAAGATATAATCCCGTATTTGTAATGTAGATGATATCGAATGGCCATCGGAGGAGGATTTCCCAATAGCGGTCGAGGCGCGAGCGATCATAACCGAGTTGCTCGCGCGCAACCCACGTGACCGACTCGGCACGGGGGGTACGCACCAAGTCAAGGTAATCAACCAATTAACTTTATATATTCAGTATAGGTCACCGATTCTTGGATTTCCTGGCGAATACAAGGAGCTCTAAAATTAAAACAAAAAGCCTAATTTTCTGTGTACTGACCCGATTTAATGGCTGAAATATGACCAATCTTTTTTTCTACGCCCAAAATATACTAATTTTGAGCGGAATACAATTTTATAACGCTGATTTAGATTGTACTGAAAATCGAAGAGCTATACAATCGGTTTGTTGAAATAAATAAACTTTGATTGTTCAGAAATGAAGAGACGTAATCTATTTGTAATTTACGCAAGAAAAAGTGTTGTTACTACTCATCTGAGATTTTTCGAAAAGGTATATTTAATAAAAAGAAATGTTACTTTATTTGCGAATGGCGATTAAGGATCGGTGCATATCTGACTGAAGATGCATCGCGTATCGATGGTCAAGGACAATCAGAACAGTCATATATATGATATAACATTCAATTCTTTCGACACATGGAATTATTTCAAGGAATTATGCGTTAGTACGACACATCCGTGGCGTACTAACGCATAATTCCTTGAGGCCCTTTACTTCTAATCTTTCGCCATATTGGCAGAGAACTGGCCGCACACGTCCATTTTCTTTTTTGGATTGTCTAATCAGTAATTTCGATTTGGAGATCGCGCAGTAACATCACTGGTGTATCGATGGAACCCGTACACAATAAATCATCCATTAACACTCGCCACCGTTTAGGCTCTTGAGCACGTTGACTCTTAACATTCAAAAAAATTGCGGGTAATGTCTAGGGATTGAGACGAATGACTAAAGTGGGATTACTTTGTCCACAGGAACACATCTACTTCTGCGGGCTGGACTGGAACAATCTGCTTCGACGGAAGGCAGAATTCATTCCGCAACTGGAAAACGACGAGGACACCAGTTATTTTGACAGTCAGTATAAATAGAAAGTTAAAGGGTCTACTTTTTAAGTCTGCGAAAAAAATATTTTGAAAAACACTTTATTTTTCCATACTCATACAGGTTATTAATTTATGATTCTCTCTCATTTTCGTTCTGTATACTTAGTTTTTTCTTTGTATTCCTCCTTATTAATTTTTTAATCGCTCGTTTATCGACCAATAAAATTATCTGGCATCGCGGATCTCTTCGACTGTAAATGAGTCGTAACAGATGGAATTTAGTATAAACAGATGGAAATAACTATATATATAATAATAATTATTATAACATTATTAAGTATTATATTATTGTCAATAAAAAAAAACATAACATGACTTCTAATGTCAAGCATCTGAGATAAAATACTACGTTATAAATTAAATAATTTTAAAGGTGAACTTTAGAGATAATTTTGTTATAGAAGTTCCGCAGATTTTTTTTTAAACTGGTATAGTAAATACCAACTAAATGGCATATGGTTAATCTTCGTTAGCACAGAACGAAATGGCATATGGTTGTGATACGTTCATAGTATTAGGTTTCCGTGTCACTTTCACTCAGTAGTGGCTAAAACACCTCGTTTCTTCAGTTTCATCTGATATCTTTATGGTCACTCGAGCAATTCGATAATGGGAATAATGACTGGGTAAAAACAAAAAACTATTTAGTCAGTCAGTCAATTAATATAAGAATATTAGATACGAATTTTTCGTGCTTCGACGCTAAGATGACAGGCATTAAAATTGGGGGGTCAATACGTCACAGCTGTAGAAAATATACAAAAGCGTTACGTCATATCACATTTTAAATCAACGGCGCTTGTGATTTGTTAATTACCACAAAAAGTAAAAAGAGCTTTTAATATTCAACATCTACCTGACGGATGGACAAAAAAAAAAAATGTAGTCAGCGTCCCGATTACGACGCTGAGTGCTGAGAGTAGAACAGGCAGTCGGTTGTATGGTTGTGGTAACGCGGCGGGTGTGGTATGTGGCAGGCCGCGTGGACCGCTACAACCACAGCGAGGCGGACACGGACGAGGCGGCGGAGGGCGCGGAGGGCGCGGAGGACGCGGGCCTGTTCGCCGCCTTCAGCAGCACCTCGCCGCAGTGGCGACGCCACTACCACTCCGGCCTCGAGCACGACTCCAGGGTGATTATATCCCCTCAAATTGTTAATGCGCGTGGCCGCCATTTTGATGATGTCATTGCGTTAAATAATCAGTACCGTTAACAAATAAACACTCATTGACGAGTACATTTATTGAATTGGGTTGTGTTGAGATTTATTGGTTTCGCCAGTGCCAGGGACCAAGTGGATTTTTTAAGCATTTTGTATTAAGAATAATGTAATTTTTTTCATTTTCCCTATACCCCGAAATTTACATAAAAATTAATTCTTTTCCATAAATTAATGTATTAAAATAACAAACAAAAGTTATTAAATTATTATAAGTATATTTTGGTCGTTATTCATAATAAATATTCCAATAATTAATAAATTATGTATCTCTTGCATTTTGTGCTATCTATACTTTCTATTTTCATATGACGTCATGCTGATGTTATTTAGATTAGGTTCTAGCGCATTAACAATTTACGGGACTTATAATTTACGTAAAATCAACTTTGTTTTATATTTTTATACAACAAAAAAAGGGAATCAATAGAATTTCCACACTAAATGACGGAATTCGGACACTTTAGACTTTTGAAACAGGTTTATTTTGATTCAACCTAATGTTCTGACAATATAGTTCTCCACCCTACGTTTGAAGCTGTATTTTAAATAGAATAGCACTGCATTGAAGGGCATGGTGTTCTTTATGCAGTTTAAATTACCATTTTTGAACTAACGATATTTTTGATGAAGGTATTTATTTATTGGTTTTCCTTGCCTGTAGAGTACGGACAGTTGGCCCGGCACACCGGATAGTGCGGGTCCGCCTACCACGCCCACTGCCCCTCTGCATCACCATCCTAAGTGTCCGGTAAGTTTATTATTTGCTTCATATTTATCTGTCAAAGCTTACTTAAAAGTATGCTCTGGATTATAATCTTGAATAATACATTAATTTTTCAAAAATTTAGATTTTGTCGTTTCAAATATCGTCCTCCAGATTTTCTAGAAAATGTTCAATAAAAAGTGGTAGAAATGTGCCGAAGTAGATTTGTCGGAAACCAATTACCGAATCATTTGTTTGAAAAAATAGGGTTGTTTCGCGTGTTTCTATCGCTATCCTGTTGTAGAACGAATTTCGTACGTCGAAACTCTGGGCCTAATGATAGACATCGTAAGCATATTAGGTTCACTTTGCTATGACAAAATTGGTTAGATGCATCTGGGCGAGCGCAATAGCAATATGTTTGCGCACGACCGGTAGTTATATATGTTGGATGACTTGTGCTATATACCAGCACGCGTTCTGATTATCATTGCGTGCGTGTGTGTAATTGCGTGTGTGTGTGTGTATACAGATGATGGGCGGCAGTGGGTCCACAGCGGACTCGTCGCAGACGGACTCGGACGACGTGTCGCCGGCGTGCCGCCGCCGCGCCCCGCTGCGCGCCGCCGTGTTCCACCCCGCCCCCGCCCCCGCGCCCGCCCTCGCCGCCGCCCACGCCTCCGCCCCGCGCATGTCAGTATTATGTTTAACTATTGCCTTTAAATCATAGGACCAAGAAGGAGCTTGTTAGAACTCCTACAAATTTGTCTTCGAACTAAAATTCTTACGATATAAAAAGAACAGAATTTAATTTTTAATTCATTTCTATCATAAATGTCATATATATAGGTCAAACATAATACACGATCTAAACATGTTTTTTCATCTGATTTATTTGTTTTTCTCGGACCTCTACTTTAAATAGACTCTATGCGAAACTAAACATCCACTATTTGCATTTTCAAAATTGTAAAAAGCTCTCATTGAAGCTCTCCAATATTTGGCCTAAAATGATACAGAGAGATTATTATTTGTTAATATGTGATCTCTTTTATACACTAAGGTACAGTTCGCTAAATTGATAAAATACGTATATCATTAGTTTATTTTCTATCAGTCATTATATGTAGTTATATCGTACTCAATAAAATCCTTTTGCATAGTGATAGTTTTAACTACTGTTTATTTTATAAATCCTTTGTTTCGCCTGACAAACACGTGATCCTAGTTCAGGCATGTGAAGTTTTTATTCGATGTTTTTATTCGATGTTATACGTATTTTTCGCTTGTATTATTATTATTATTATAAAATGAGAACCTCCTTCATTTGAAGTCGTTTAAAAAAAACTGCTTATCAACACTTTACAGCCGATGGCAAACTGTTGTCGCTTCGTTCCCTATAGTTGACCTATTTGTATAAGCTTTATAATCTTTCGATGGTATCGATGTACAACAGGTCTGAGATATCGAAAAAAGAAGAAAGCAGGAGCATGGACCGTCCGGATCGTCCGGAGAAAGCGAAACCTTCAGCTCTGGTCGCGACCAAGGCCATGAGACGCTCAGCCAGTACATCTGGTCTCTCCCTCGTCATACATCCAGGTATATGAGCTACTTATCTGACAAAAGTAACTTAGCGATGTTAATTAATTCGCCAGCTTTCCAGACAGGGCCCTCAAAAAAATTTGACAGTAATCTATTTTTGTATATTTTATATTTTTGTATATAGTTTTTATATCGCCTTTAGCGCTTCGTGCGTTGGATTATGAAAATCGTGTACTCTAGTTGTAAAAGTATTTTAATCTCTTAATATTAAGTCAATACACTTAACTAAGATTACAAAAAAAAAAAAAATAATAAGTATTTAATGAGATTATGTTGTATTTATCTTTTACATGATACAATGTGATAATCCGGTTTGGGATTTCTGTATATAGGTTATTCTAAACTGCATTAGAGCCATAGATAGCCATTGAGATAACTTATTATAGATACTGTTGGTAAGCCATACTTGTAAGAGGAAATATTCCGTTGATTGGAAAGAGAAAAGAGATCGCGGTACCTTTTCTGTTTCACTCTACTGATGCACCTATTAGGGACAGCTACAAATAAACCGTTAAATCTATGGTTGTAGCGTTATGATTAGTTTTATGAATAATTCAGATCAACGAAAAGACTTTTGTCCCAGAAGTGGGGACATCAACAGACTGATGTTGATTATTGGTTTAAATAATATTGTATGTTATTTCCCTAGCCGATGATAGCACGATGGGTGGCGGGGCCATGTCCCCGTGTGCGGGGAACACTTCCTCCACGAACTCCTCGCGGGACTCCTCGCCGTGCAGGGATCCTCCATCGCCGTTCGCTCTCGCTAACCATTCGTAAGTCTCGTAGTTTCAGTAGTATTATTAGTCCATTCCCCAGAGAGAAGTCTTTGTAGTTTGTTAACCTTCAATGAGCGTTCGACAATATTTATCTGTTCTTACTAAGTTCAATTAAAGATAATAATTATATTAAAACTAATAGCCGTTTAGATATACGCCTTTACTGAATTATCCGTCAGCCTAACAGATCATTCAAGGTTTCATTTTGACATGCCAATCAGGGCTCCGCAGTCACGCAGTAGAGCTCATGAAGCACCCTCTAGTGACAGAAAATATATCCTGAACACTCAATGTATAAAAAATACAAATGTTATTCTTTGTGTTACACTTGCAGTTCCCAATAAACTATCTATCTACATATATGTTCTGTAATGTCTCGTGTAGATTGATCCAGTCGTCGAAGCCGCCTATAGTGGTGAGACGTGGACCGCGCGGTTTCGGGTTCACTATCCACACAGTGCGTGTGTACTATGGCGATACTGACTATTACACAATGCACCATTTGGTCTCGGTATGTGCTTTTATTAAAAATATATCTTATGATTATTAAACTTAATTTCATCCCCTCAGAGATTGAGCTTTTCAAAAGGATTACTTAAGTACATAGTATACCAAATAGATCGACCCGTCTTGTACTAAAGCTGCGTTGATAGATCAGTCAGTCTGTCAGTTATCTTTGCCTCTCATATACAGGGTTATTCATAAAACCATAACACCCTCGCAGAAATTGATAGCTTATATTATAAATGACAATGTTTGTTTTTGTACTTTAATAAAATTTTCTTTTTCGTTAATTCATGCATAAACTTTTTTAAGGCGGTGAGCGAACAGGGTGCGGCGTGGGCGGCGGGATTGCGCGCTGGCGATCTCATCACTCAGCTTAACGGAGAATCAGTACAGGGACTGCTACATACACAGGTAATGTATTATTATTTACAAGATAACACAATCAGTACCTCCCACCGATGTACAGTCGGCTAAATAACGACGCGTGGCAATCTCGACCAATCAAAATGATTCTAGTGGCGCCTAACCCCTGCCGAGTGTGATTGAGACGCAAACACAGTAAAGTACGTTGTATGCGCCTTTACACGACCGATTTATCATAGTCGGTATCGGTGTGTCGTCTACACAAACGAAGATTTACTAAGAGGCTTTACTGTATACCCGTTACTTGCCGCGTTGCACGTGGTCAAAGGAAAGTAACTAAGATAATATAAAATGAACTTGTCTTGTATTAACTCTGGCCTGGACGGCTATGTAGTACCTTTGTGGTTTCAGATATGCATAATACGCCTCGTGTTTTTTAGTTATTAATTAGGCTTCTAAGCGATATATGTGATTCATGTTTCTGGATGATTATTGCTCTTTAGGTTCTGAGGTTACTGCTGGCGGCTCCACACGCAACTGTCAGGGCGACACCGCTCGATCAAACTACTATTCAGGTTTGATATAAACCAATTATTCGTTTAAAATTAAATGTTTTAGTAATTTGTTGACTAGAGAACAATATTATAAATGTTTAAACACATTTTTAAACTTGACTTAACTTGAGCTTTAACTTACTTCATTATTATACTTTGTTAATTTGATCCCATGCTCTGGTTAACTGTCGATGTTTCTATTTACATACCTACGACAGAGAGTTTCGTTGGTTTTGCTATGTGGAATGAATGTCGGGTGAAAATAGTTATATTTTTACATACAACGGAGAGTATAGACTTTCTTGAATTATTGTAATCTAACCTTATTCGAATCGTTACAATACAGTGTTTATGAATAATTCCATTATATGTAACTTGATAAGACCAAAAATGTTACTTTGATAAACAAGCCTTTCTATGTACACAAATGGATATATTTTTAATTAAATCTTATTCTTAATTATTATACGAATCTTTTGAATTTAATATGAACTTATTATACCTTATAAGACTATGATTTGACATTCGCTATTTTTTTATGGAATTAAAATTTTATTGGCATTATTTTTTCATATAAAAACAAATAATTTATATTTTGACTTTCGTCTTGACCATAAAATATGTTTGTTTAAAATTTTTAAAACTATCCTGTAACTATATTTTCGCATATAGAGATTATTGTTACTTTTTTATTGACAATGGGCTCACTGTTGACCTCAATCTAGCCTGATCTGTTATTATTTAAAGTCAGTTACCGGTGTTATATATTAACAATATACGAGCAGGCGGGCGGCAGGCGTCGCGTGGGCGGCGGGCGGCGCGCGTCCGCCCCGCCGCGGCCGCGGCCCCGGCGCCGCTGCTCGCTGTTCAGGAGGATCTCCACCAAGCGCGCCTCGCAGGAGATGCATCAGGTCAAACCACCACCACAACTGTACCGTCGTTACTAGTAGGCTAAGAGGTCGTCACGACAATGTGCAACAGCTTTCGTTAGCTGGATATTTCAGTTTGTTAAATATTAAGGGATTTAAATAAGCGAAAAGTCTTGTTATGAATATGAAATAGGAGATAAAATTGCTGAGATTATGCAATCGTGAATGTAGTTACTCAGCAGATGTCAGACGTTGGTGTGAAAAGTATATGTATACAAGTTTAAATTATGCGCCTCGTTATATTTCGTGTTTACGAATTTAACCGATCAAGAAACTAATGTGTGATCGTCGTTTTAGCCGCCAAAACTCGTCAGTACCTCGACTGTGATGGAAGTGACAGCACGCAATATTTCAGTATTAAGAATTATATAGAGCTGAATACGCTAAATTACCTTATTTGAAAATAGGTACTTAATTTATTCCTACATAATTCGATTTTCTTTAATCTAGGGTTTTCATTTTGGTATTAGCTGATGGCAAGAAATACTGTATACTTTTATTTTTAAATTGGCATACCTAATCTAAATTTAAGCGAAATGATTAATTATGTAATAACAACTCTAGATGGTGGCGAACGCAGCTGATTGCCCCGCGTCCCCTGGAGCCCCGCCCACAGACAGCCCCTTACACTCCGCCACACACTATCAGAGGTAATTTTTGTTTTATCGCCAATGAATATAACGGTGTAATCCGCGTTTATAAGCCTTAGCACGCTTGCAATTTTGCATCGCTACTTAAAATAGAACGTTTATATTGCAAAAGTATATTGAATAGTTTTTTTTATTGCTTTTTTATTGTTGGAGTAAATATTCACATTAAATTATGTTGCGATGGACATAGTTTCCTTCATGTTAAAATAATACTTTACAGCAAAATAATCTTCCATCAGATTTGCTGTGATCCTAAATAAGACGTATGAAATTAGCGGAAGATTATTCGTTAGGCAAAATAGGCATGCGCTCGAGTGTGCCATGTCACAACGGGCGTGAAATTCGACGCACAATTCGAGACATATATTATTATTACATATCTCGCGTCTACGCGTGATAGTATTGATGGCGGTTAAACGTCCTACTATAGTCTTATTATCGCAGCTGTGTTTATGGATTTAATAGAAAACTCAGAAATTTGGCACATAGAAAAATAAAAATTAGCACGTTTACACTGAAATACAAAAAATTATATTGAAAAAAAAAAATGTATTTCATGGCATAACAATAGCGAGGGGCTTTGAGAAGTCACGCGTCAAGGTCACTAATGATGCGTTATATCCATGATAGCATATCTATATCGGTCCATAGGTCCAGCATGCGAAGTGCGGACGATTTCTTTGTCTAATTTCGATCGGCTACTATTCTATCGATTTCTATGGACCGATGATAGAGGCCACAGAAATCGGTGCGGTATCGATCGATGTAAAAGGGTAATGACTGCCGCTAGGCCGTCGTCGCTGCACGGCTTGAAGCACAAGCTGGTGGCGGGGGTGGGGGTGGGCGCGGGGGCGGGCGTGGGGGCGGGGGAGGTGCGGCGCGCGTCGCTGCAGCACATGCCGCTGTCGCCGCTGGCGCGCACGCCCTCCCCGCAGCCGGTGCCGCAGCCCGCCTCGCCCACCAGGTACCTACACCTACACTACACTACACTACACTACACTACACTACACTACACTCGCATATTGGCCTTGCTGTTGGCTCATCTAAGCTGATGCAAAAAATAAGCGTACGTCCATGATTGTACGTTTACGGGTGAAACGAATTCGTTTTCAAATTGAGCTTGGCCTAGACGTCCTCTAGTGATCGGAGGGCATCCTCTTAAAACCGATTGTCAGTATATGTGAAATGCTCAGAAAGACGACGACGAAATTCACTATTTATTATTAATATCAATTTTAAAATTCTGTTCCCAAACATTTTATATCTATAAGAAGCTCGGGCTAAATAAATATCGAATATGATGCCTTGTTTTTAATATCAAGCGAGGATTATTTATAGAAAATTGAAAACCGAAATAGTACTAGATGCGCATTCAAAATTACTGGTAGAACAACTAAAGTTCACGTAGAATGAAAATGAAATAAATATAGATAAGCGAAGTGGAATAGAATTTACAAACAATATCCTAACCCTGCGGCGATAACGTATGTCTAGACAAAAGCGGCATTAACCGCAACTTCCCCTATAAGTTTTTACGTTTGTGCTTATATTATGCATCTCTTCGTTTGGGCCTTCACTGGGAATATCATCCATATATATCCAAGACTAGAGTACGTGGTGGCTATTTCACATATGTTTGTTGAGTGGCAAAGAATTTTTTAAGTCTAAATCATTTCCATTCTTCTCCTCGTATACTTAAGATCCATATTTCCCTACTCCTTAAAGACTACGAATCATTTAGGGCCTTGCTTATATTCACAATATTGTGTTTATCGATAAGTGTAAAGCTATAAAGCATCCTTTGCAGTTATGCTGTTACAGGCTCTTTAAAAACAAAAAATGCTCAGAGTAGATCATTTAATTGGGATTTTAACAATAATTATTTTTTAAGCTCATTACACATTCAGGTAGAATGGAAACCGAATAACTTAATTAAGAGATTTATTATTTTATTTAAAATGATAAATATAAATGGAATCTTACATGTCATGTCCATACTAAGCTGTCCTCATTAAATCATAACATCATGCACTATACCTAGTGTATTGTTGACTTTGGTAATCAAAATTTATAAAAGCGTTTTCAAGGCGGTAACTAAAAATACATACGTCACCGTCATTTTATCATGACAATGGGGGTTAGAGGGTCATGTTTTTCATAAATTCGTGTGGAGTGACATTAATCTATCATTTGTGTCGTGCGCATACTCGTTAGGGATGATCGATATTTATCAATGGTAGATAAACATCGCTGTTTTGAAGCTAAAACATCATTAGCATTTGTAACAATGGAATGGATTAAATTAAAAATTTCTGCATACTGGGATTGTTTTTCTAGTTTAATAAATACCGTGTAGCTTATGTAAAACAGTGGGCTTATTATGTAATCAAAAGTAGCGATTGTGATAACGGTTTATGTAATTATATAACGTTTAAATTGAAATCGCTTTGAATGATCAAGATAAGATTGAAGTTAGCATTAAACTGTTTCGTTTGGCATCTCTCAACAGCTTTCAAAGACATTTGCGTCTAACTAGACTAGCGTCTAATTTCAATTAACGTCTAATCAACGATTTCGTTCATTAAATATCTTTGAAAAAATAGGAATTGTAACATAGTTGTAGTTGTTGTCAAACTGATAGATTTTAGAATTAGGCCATTAGCCCCCTGGTTGTATATTATGCGACATGGATGTTTATCTAATATCGATCGTCCCTTATTACCTGTGACTAACTGGGCGTGAATGTAGCCGGTGCGAGGCGCGCTCGCCGTCCCCCTTAGCGACGCGCGAGTGCGGGAACCGCCGCGCGTGGGCACGTAGGGATCCCGCCTCGCCGCTGCTGAGGAGGGCGCTCTCGCCAGACAGGTGGGTTTGGGATTCATCATCACCGATATATAAAGCAGGGGCTGTTAACCTTTTTGGCTGGCGATTAATGGTGATCGCATATCTATCAGAGCAAAAAGAAGCCGGACGAAATTATCATTTCTTTTTACACCTTTGAAATTGCAACAACGGATGATTGTGTGAGATGGTTCATATGTTTGTTTACAAATAATTGATAGATGAGCGATCACCATAAAGCAGTGGTTCTTAACCTTTTTGGCTGGCGACCCAAATAATAAATATACTTGAAACTCGGGGCCCCGACGTTTCATTTATCTCTAAGCCTTAATAAAATAATACGATTACAGTTGAGTCATTATAATAAGGCGGAAAACCAAATAAAATATAGTAAATATATGATATATTTTTTCAAAGTAACGGCAACGGTACAATTGCGTTTTTTTTTGTTATAAAATTTTATTTATATTGTCATTATATAAAACTAAAGGTATTTTATGTTTTACTTTGACCAGTAAACTTTTCTATAAAAATAAAATTAATCTATTTCATCCAAAAACAAACTAAACGCCTTTTCAAACAGTAAGAAACTATCCAAGAACCCCGATAGATTGTTTGGTATACTCGCAAGTTGATTTGATAATCATTTATGAAAACGTACATATAGCCACATTGGGATTCTAATAACTAAAATATTGTTTAAATAGGTAACATTTAAAATTATAAACAATTTCATTCTACATATCGTTTTGAACTCAAATAATATATCTTTTTTCTATATATATTCTCAAACAATAATCTTTACATATGAAAATATTGACAAATAATGAAATACTACCAAGTGAATTTCTAACCACTTGCATCATCGAAATCTTAAATAAACTCATATGCAATTGACTTGGTAATGGTGTAACTGGTTACATTTAAGAGGGCGCATACACCAAATACCACTAACCTTCAATTGTTTGCGAGTAAATTCATCAAACTGTTCTTGACGCGCAATTCGACATCCTCTGTCCTAATCTATTTGTGGTGGGCAATAATATTGGTGTTTTGGATTTATTCCTACTCTTTTTTAATTACGCTTAGTAATAACTAATTTGTGCATTAAACATTTATTATCTGCGATTTTTTTCTGTTGTGCTTGTTTCAATGTCGACACAGTACATAATTTAATAAATCCATCTCACGAAGTAATATATTGATAATAATCATAAAATCGATATTTTTTTGAACAGTAACTTCATTCGATTCACATTACTTTGAAAACCATATCTATTCGTTAAATTAATCGATAATTTTAAGAAAGAGGCCTCATTATCAAGTTTGGTTTGATAGATGATAAATGTGGCTTTTTACAATGACCCAACTGTAAGTAAAAGTCCATGGTTTGCACAAATTGATGTCGCAATATTATTTTTTTATTTAATTAAATATCATATCAGTATATTTTGCATCACTGAGGCGTTTGAACTTATTGTTATTACCATTGATAGCCCGTCACTTGAAGTTAAGAAAGACTGCTGTAAAGGTTCATTTTAATTGGTTGAAAAGTTACGGTATTTGCATATGCGGTGGGAGTTGTCGCATTTTTCAGGTGAGATATATGTCAAGCGTAATGGCTCATTTACACTGACAACGACGTTCGTTTTGTTGACTAATCAGATGAGCCTGTAGTGGTTGCTCACGCGCCGCATTCGGATCCCGTCGACCAGTGTAACAGAGCCATTAATAAATTTCCACCACTCTAAATAGCCTTGACGATCACAGAAAGTGCGTCTTTAAGTAGGCAAAAATTATTACGACCATTGTTAAATTTGTCTTAAATTTATGCCTAAACCATAGTGACACGCGGATTACCAGTATTCCCTACAAAAAGCATTATATTAAATGAAGATGAATTTATAATATGATCGAGAAAACTATATTATATTTCGGACCAATTACAGTTCCTAGGCAAATAGAAAGGTATTTAATTTTCTTGGTATTAATTGCACTTTATTTTGTAAAGAATTTAGTTATTTTAGCTTAACGCTCTGTTAATGCTTGTAACCTAATAAAAAGCAGACATCATCAATAATATAATTTACCTTTTAAAGTATGGTTAAGTTAATAAAATGTTTCAGATATAAAATCTTCGGTCACCCATCTGATAGGCTTTTACGAAAGTCAAATACCGTCCGGATTCGTTGACCGAACATGTAAATCATTACGCCATTGATACTTCTGAATGAATTGGATAATTTACAAATATTTTTCTTGCTTTGCTTCTCATATTCCAGTAACAAGCTTGGCATTGGGTTTATTCAGATTTCTTCGGCTTAGTGCTCCTTAGAAACTGTTGTGTTCAGCCTTTGTATGTAGAACATGCTTCCAGCTGACGCGCATAATATACTATTATTATTATATATAAGATTACCAATTTTAAATTAAAAAATACTTCTAGTCTAAGATCCCACTGCAAAATCACTACGTTCATCGTGTAGTTAGTCAAACTCACATTTTTACATACATTTATGAATAGGAGAATACATTGGTACTCGCACAGCTGACACACGCCAACCTCGTCTAACATGTAGCGTTGCGCGCTAACTCTCTTTCACTTTATCTCGGATACCTCGAGTCTTTAACAGCTAGCAACTTTAATTTGTTCATAGGCAGCGTTATATCATCATATAAAAAAAAAAAATAGCTTTAATTTGATATAAAAAACATGCGTATACGTTATGAACGTATAAATACACCAAAATATTACCTGTTTACACCTGGCTGCAACGTATTACGGCACCTATCGATTTTGAAATTCTGTACGTATATTGCTATGATGTGGATGATATTTTATTTACAAAACAAATGAACGAAATTATTTTGGAAAATTAATTAACATTAATTTAATTAAAATTACTTGCGGCTATTCATAAATGTATGTAAAAATGTGAGTTTGACTAACTACGCGATGAACGTAGTGATTTTGCAGTGGGATCTCGTACTATTTGGTGTCGATTTGTATGTACAATTCCAAACTAAACTAAATAAAACCCAATTTGAATTTGCCTAGCCTTATTATTTTATTTTATTGCAATAAGCGTCTGCTCGTGCTACGCTGGAAGCGGTTAGGGTTATTTATAACTGTTACATCATTCAAATGTTTATTTACACTCGAATATATTACTTCCCTTTAAGTAGACCATTGTTTATATATTTATTAAATTTCTTTGCACAAAAAAAGCGTACAAATGTCGGACTTAATGCCAGTAGGTATTCTCTACAAGGCGATGCTACACAAAAATTTAATGAATTCAATGTAGAAATTAAATAGAATTGCATATAATAAAAAATATCATTATTAAATATATATACATATAAAACAAACATACATAAATATAAATGTTAGATTAATTACAAGCAGTAGGAGAATTCAGAAGCTTTTCACGTAACAATCGTTTATAAGTTAATTTATCAGGAGCAGCTTAATTACGTAAACTATGATATATCCTATTATCTTTTAACTTGTGGTTTCGCATACTAATAAATTTATTTCTATTTAAAGCGAACGTAATCAATGTTGATATTATTTTGATCAATCATCGCTAGCGTTCGAATAGAGGTGATCTCGTACGCCGATCTATCAATATTACGGTCTTAAACCAAATTTTGATATATCTTATTCTTATTTTATATTCGGTTAACGGGTGCTTATCGAAACTCAAATTTCAATATGACCTTCGACGTCTTTACTTTCGTCCGACCTTCAAGGTCATCCCTGTCGCAACGCCGATTCAAACCCGGGCGGAAAATACTCAAACCCTTAACATGGAGTGTTTGGACGTCGTTTAGATTGCACCCCCGGTCGGCGGAATCGAAATGTTCGATATCGCCCCTGTGCTGCGGCGGCGTGAACGTGTCCGTGTCGGTGGGCGTGGGGCCGGCGGTGGGCGTGGCGGGCGCGGGGGGCGCGCGGCGCGGCGTGGTGTGGCGCGCCCCCGCCCCCGCGCCCCCCACGCCCACCCCGCCCCCGCCCGACAAGCAGGACGACTCCGCGCCCCCGCTGCCCAGGATAGCTGAGGAGAAGGACTCGCCCACGCACCACCCGAGGACACTCGCCGAAAGGTAACACCACCCCGCATAATTATATTTGTCGAGGACCAGATAACGTATCGTTCTCACTCACAAACTCCACTCGTCATTCGTCGTCGGTTTTATAAAGTAAAGATAAAGTACGAAAGTTGTGTTGTATGATATAATGTTGTTGTTGTTGTGCCGTATTAAATGTAATGAAATTTTTGTAACCGGTGTAAAGCCCTCTACGGGTCAAACCGGTACAAAGCCCTCCCTCCCCTCCAAAGGTACTTGTGTGGGTTCTTGGCCTGGTGTGGGTGCCAGAGAAGTTTGTGCTGTTGTAATATTTGTCAATATTTTTTTTATTTCAATTATATTGGATTCAAAACTGATGCTAACTAATTTCCTAACACTAGTAATGTTGTGAGCCCTGACTTGTAGAGTCAGTTTAAATAGTGTTCGTCCGTCGCCCGTCCATCCGTTCGCATGAACGTGCGTGTATGTGTTATACGTGTACTGAGCGAGTTAAAAAGCTATTAGCTTTATTATGAAGTACTACGACGAATCCATGAAGAATGAGGATAGACTATGCTCTGCGACGTTATTAATAGGAGGTAGTATAGGTGTACCATAATTTGATGAAAAAACAAAATGAAAAATCACTATTTCATGACTCAATCATTGTATAAATCGTTTACAATTATCAAGTCGACGTGTGAATTGTTGATATTATTTGTGAAAATAACTAGCAATGACAAGTCTTGATACTTAATTTGTTAAAAAAAAATCATAAATATTCTTTGGCGTGTGGACTACTACAATAAAAAAAATTATTTATTTGTGAAGAAGATGTGAAGACCTTTTGTATATATCGGGTAATATAAGGAACCGTGAAAAGAAGAAAACAAACTAAAGCAGTTGCAATATTAGTGCAATAAAAAAATACATCATGTACGTCTGGGCTAGGTGCTGTCCCGTCGAAATATTAGATGTTGGCAATATAGTGTTTTTTTGTGCACTATATTATATCCCACGCAGCTCTATCAGAAATATGAAACAATTTGCAAAATAGACATATAGTCAGAAGTATGTTCAATACTATGGGATAGTTATTAAAAGTGTTTATTATATTAAAAATATTACAAGTATCAAGATATATTTATCCGGTTCCCTCGATGTTGCTTTTTACAAATTAAAATTTCCCGATTTTCCAGCAGATTCTGGTACACTTATATCACTTTTATGGGTTGAGAGTGATCTCATCCATGAAAGCGATATCGCCAATATATTTTTACATAGAATCCTTTGTTATCTTGCAAACAGAACGCCGGCGAAACAGCAGACGACTCCGAACATATTCACGTCTTCACCTAAAACGAGCCTGGACAAGTCTACATTCGACGCGTCTACGTCGTTCGCCTCCTTGTCGCTGTCGGACGAGTCGTACGTCGACACATCTGTCGACATGTCCGCGCTGGACACCTCCAGGGAACTAAACGGTTCGTGTTATATTAATCATTTGCTCGTCTTGGTCCCGATTGTTTTACATGCTACCTACTAGCTTTCTGCCGGCGGCTTCGCCCGAGTGGTTTACACTGTAGGACAGGAATGTAGTTAAGATTATATTTGAATGACAACTAATGGGAAATTGTCTTCCTTCGAGCTGGGTGTTGGTAACTCAGGGACCGGGGTCCAATAGATGTAGGGAGAATTGGAAGAAAAAGACGAAAAAGAAGAAGACCATTTGTTAAGTCGCGGCAACATACCTATATCAAGTTTCATTAATATCTGTTTAGTAGTTTTTGCGTGAAAGAGTAACAAACATACATCCATACGTCGTCACAAACTTTCGCATTTATATATTAGTAGAATTCTTCTATAATTCTCGATCACCCATCATTTCAATAGACACTCCCACATATTTTTCTTCTGTTTTCTTTTTTATCATAATAAGTAATTGTTTTTTCTGTCGTAATTCATCGCGGGCTTAATGCGGATTCGTGGGCGTTAACGACTCAGATGTAATTGGACAAAGCCTTGGAGCATTATCGTACCTTTTTTGACCCTTGGCTAGTCCTGATGGACCCCATGTACTTTTAAGTCTGTTATCTCTGTCCTCCTTATTTTATGCACATACATACATACACACACACCTGACCTCTATTTTCATTTATCCATTAGCTGTTACAGCTTTGCATAGTTGAACGAATGACGTAGTCGAAAAAATGGAACGAATGTTTGGATCTGTATTTCCGAAGATTACCCCCCACAAATAAACAAGACAAAGTTTGAAACTTTACCTCTTTTTAAGTGTAGATTTTGCAGATGTTTCCTGATTTAATGTAAATATATTAAGGTCAATGAAATTACTTACCCTTTTCGAAGTAAGGAATACGAGGCAATAATTTTGTAGCCACATGCAGAGCCGCCGCCTAATTGGTATGATGGTAGCTCACTAAATGCAGAATTCATTATGTTACAGATGATAGCAGAATGAGTACAGATATAAAAGCGTTGGTCGAAGAGAAATCAAAGAATATACAGCCTGATCCGGGTCCGGTCGCGGACATAGTCAAAGTGAGGAAGAAGTCTGACACCAGCCTGAAAGATGAAGACGTGAAGAACAAAGATAAGCCTAAACAGAAGGACAAACCGGAATTGAAGAAACAGGATTCAGTGAAGAGGATTGAGAAGCCGGAACCAAAAGCGGAAGAAAAGGTCGTTCCGGAAGTAAAGGTATCAATATAAAAGAAATCTGTAAATTATTCTTAATAACTTCTCGAAACTTAAACCGAATTAGAGTGAGGTAGCTAACCTTGTATTTAACAACCCTCTTCACATGAAGTTTCTTGTATTAACATATGTTAGTTTTATTTTGTGACAATCGAGGAGGGAACCCAATTATTAAAAGCAAACTACTGATTTAATCCTCATAAGATTTTTTTTTGTGGTTTCCTTCGGTATGTACCTTATAAAACTAAAAAAATACAGTTGTCTAATTCACAAGATAAAGTTGTAACCCAATGTGTAACTTACATATGTTTTTTTTTTTAATAATTGAAGATAGAGGAAAAGAAGCCAGATAAAGTTATGGAGAGGACAGGTTCGGTAAAAAAGAGCGAGAAGCAAGAGAAGGCTGAAGCCAAGAAACAGGAGAAAGCTGAGAAGAAGCAAGAGAGGGCAGAGGCGAAGAGGACAGAGTCTGTGAAGAAATTTGAAGGGCTCAAGAGGCAAGAGTCCGTCGACACTAACAAGGTACGCCCGGCTGTATTAATGGTACATTACTGGGTACAAATTGTGATAAAAGACAATCTTTTATAACTAAATACATGTTAGCTGTTTAAGGGTCGGTTCATATCATAGACAGAAGATGTGTCACATCACGTCGGTCGCAGAACGTCGGAACTGACTAATATATGATATGATAACCTTGCTCACTTGACGGATGACTTATCGCGTACTTAGTCATTCCGTGAGACGCTTGAGTGATCTTCTGTCAGGATTTGCACCGTTCCTAATTGTCTTATTATAAAACTAGGACTACAAGTTCTTCGTTGCCCGCTTAAGAAAATTGATAAAAGAGAACATGCCAAATTGAAACGTGTTGACTTATATAAGATGGATAGTCGATCAAACCTGCTTCTAGAATTAGTTCTTGTTTTATAAAAAACGCAAAGTATTTATATTTAATCCAAGTAAATGTAAATGGTGATACAATAAATATAATATCACTTCAGAGTGATATTTTTACCTTTTCCACGATTGTATTTTATAGATTATAATACCAATGTCTTTCATATTATTTAAACGTTAATGCACTGGGTGTAAGTTCTAAATTTGCTTGTGAAAAGTTGGCATTGGAGTAACCTGACGGATTTCTGTGTGTTTATTCAAATAAACATTCAAATAAGTGAACATTTGTTGTAGTCACCGGAGGAGAGTGAGGCGCGCAGTAAGAACAGTATGGTTAGCAAACTGCTGGGGGTTATGGGCAGGAAGGGAAGGGACCGGGACGACGATGACGCTAAGCGGAAACATGACAAACCCAAGAAAAAGGTGAACTTTTTTATTTATTAACACAGTCTACATCAGTGGCTTTTTACTTTTATATAACCTTAACAGTGCAAGATAGGCACTAGATCGCAGTGTACAACGTGTAACATAACGCACATCCTGAAAGTAGTTTGTTTACAATCAGATACTGATTCGAAATTCAACATTTTCTAATATAAATATTTTTTTGCTAAATTTAATCGCGATCAAGAAAATTATGGTCACCTGTAACCATTACAGCCGTCACAAATAAAAAATAACCTTAAGCGAACGTAATAAGGCTTTTTAAAATGCGCCATGTTCTTAGCTTGTAATAAAATACAACATAGGATAAAAAAACAAAGAAAAATAAGCTTTCTTTTAATGTGCCTTAAGTCTAAAATGCTATTTGACTCTATTATGCTAAGTTCATAATTTAAAGAGTAAAATAATTCATAAACAAAGAGACAAATAATAATACTACAAATAAACATGACGAGTGTGACAAATATGACAGTGGCAGTGGATGATAATTTTATCGCAATTTAAATTAGGTACGATGTGGTGCTCGGCGTGTGATATGTGATCGCGAGACTATGCTAGTTTATACTCATAACAAGTAAGAATCATAATTATTGTCTAAACTTAAAAAAAAGCTTTGAATCTCGAAACAGAATAACATTTCAAGTCGAGAATTTTTCTTGGTAGGTAAGTGGTGTCATTGTGGTATTGCGCTGTTGGTACATACATTGTAGTGGCAGGCTAAGCCATAATTTTGACGTCATTATGAGTATTTGTAAGATGTCCACATCCAGCGATTATTATAAATGTGTCCATAAATAATATTTTAGTACATAAAAGTTAAATTCCAATATTCGTTTTATGTTTATAAATGCCTTTTATAATTGGGTGTAAAAAGTTGTGCGTTATTTCTGTAATACGTTGTATAAATATTGTAGATAGATAGATAGATAGATAAAAAGTTTATTTTCTCAGCAACACACAATTACATCACACAAAAGAAACAAAGAGGAACAAGAAATAGAAATATATCTGTGTGCAGCAGTTGAGAAAAGGGTCTAGGCTCGGTGCACTAAAATCATCTAATGCGGATGAAGCACCGATTTTCAGCCATCACCCTGAAAGAGATGAGCGGGGACAAAATATTTTTTTTAATATAATCGAATGAATAGTAGTATCGGGAAGATATAATGTCAAAAAATAATATAAATAGAAATAAAAATGGTACACAAAAAAAAAACTACTACTTGTACTTGTACTATTATACGTTTTATGTATTAATACAATAAACGTAAGAAAGTATATATTTTATATAGTAATAGTTATATGAAGCTCCGTGAACCAATTGGAGTGTTTCTATAGACATACCACTGGTGGTCTATAGAAACACTCCAATTGCCATGAACCACTGGCAGCGAGATCAGGCTTGGTATACGATAATCAGGAGTGATACATTTTCTTTTCTTTCACACATGTCTGCTTATTTAATGGCCTTATTTATTAAGCAGTCCTATCTAACTACAGCCGCTTTTGGTTAAACCTGTTCGTTCGGCTAAAGTCAAATCAAAATATCATTATACAAAATTAAACTTATTTAAAGAATTTTTTGAATCGTCCAACATGTTTACTCTCATTCAGGACGTCTTTTGACTGATAAGAAAAACTTGCGAAAGAAACTCACCAGCATTAATAGAAGTAATGACATTTACAAAAACCATTTCATTACCAAATCAATTCCAGTGCGTGGCAAATGTCGGCCAATCAGAATAATTCAAGTAGTACGCCCGTTGAGTGTGATTGAGACTTAGTTATCGAAAGAAGATTCATTATAAATAATCATACGTTCGGTCATCGTCAGAATTCGTAGGTCTGCTCTGCCTGCGCCAACGAAGATTCACATCCGCCATAATTATTAGATAGAAATTGTTGTAGGAACATATAACTCAGCCCGATTTAACTGTAATGGTTTATTAAATTTTCAGAACATTAATACTGCCCAGCAATCTACCAAGCAACCCGAGATCTCCGAGAAAAGCGAGAAACCGGAAGACGATAAGAAAAAGAAAGGACGAGGCAGAGCTTCTAGCTCGTCTTCTGGAGGGGAGAAGTAAGACAGACATATATTACTCGGTTCAACAGCAAAGTAGGTTAGAGACAGTCACGAACTTTAATACCTTCATGAAAACGAGTGAATGAAACAGTGTTGTAAAAAAAGTGAGAAGGCGATATGTACGCCTGTACGTTTTGAAACTTCGCATGCGATACAATTTTGAATCTTTATGTTAAAGAGACTGAAATCAAAATTGATTTTGGTTAATGTTCTTTATGTTTGAATCCTTTTCTCTTTTCTAATGTTATATATATGTGTATGTGTACTTATATATATAAAATAACCTTCTATTTTTTATATATTCGATAGCAAATAATTTAAAACAGTAATAATAATAAGTTCGCATCAACGATTTTTCGAAAACGTAAAAATATCACAACGGATTTGTTGATGTATTAATTTAATGTGACAAAAAATATTAAAAAATAAAGTAATAACTAAATTACAATTAGAACTTAATAATACATTTATTAATTACGCGTGTTCATTAAGTCGCAGTGAGACAGGTATACAAACTTAGTGAGATGGAGAGAGTACGATTGTATTAGTTTGGTGTATATTGTAACTTTTCATCTGTTAAGTATGTGACAATCCGTTTCTGTGAAATGTATAAACGAACTGCATTCAATTTTCGCCTTTATAAATCACGCAGTAAGGCATTTATGTATTCACGGCTGTAATATTAGCCATCCTTATTATATACATCGGAATAGAGTGAGAGGTTTAATCTACTCGGCGATAATTGAGTGGTTTATGCGTTATTCTACAAACGGATTGGTATAGTGTTTAGGTTAAGTAAATGCTGTTTTAACACTTGTGAATTTAAATATTTCTATGTTCGGTGTTGTCGAGTAATTTTGAAGTACCGTATGCGCCTGCGCAATGAAGTTTTTTTTTTATATAATTCTATGTGTTACCTTTTTCAGTTTGTCCTATTTTGAGCTTGGATTTTGTCATTCTATTTTTCAATTCGATCATCACTATGATCAATTGAAGAAAGTGATTAATACAATCACAGCTCTGCGGAGTAGCTATGAACGATTACAGATTTAATTTTTATAAAACGGGATTGAACAGCTCTAAAAGGAAAATATCTGCAATCGATTGAGAATTGAACTGTTAAAAGATTAAAGAATTAAATCTTTAGATAGTTTTAGCCTTTTCGTGAGAACGCAATTTGATGGTACAATTAGCTGTATAACTGTTCTAACATTGCGTTGGCGCATTAGAATTTAAAATTTCGCTATAAGCTTCCTTTAGACTGTGTATAGAGCTTTATAGTTGTTTGTATTGTAAGGACTAAACAATATAGTTTGTTAGCCTCTTATATTTTTTGTTTTATGAATCAGCTTTTCAGTATTAGAACATTGAGGCGGATATAAAGTATTTACGTTTTAGTCAATAACAAAGAAAATATGTTTTTAAGCTTCATTTAGTGGTTACTGGGCGAATCGACAGTTTGTCAAATATTTGATTATAAATGTGTCAAAGTTTTGATAGAAAATATATCAAAGATTTGATTACAAATATGTCAAAGATTTGATTACAAATATGTCAAAGATTTGATTACAAATATGTCAATATTGGAAATAAAATTCATGAAATGCGATAGTCGAGTTGTTCGCGTGACTCTAAATGCAGCTATATATTAAGGAATTGTTACGTACACGTGTATTTTTTTTTTAGTAAGTTGTATTTTCCTATCAATCTCATTTTAGTGTGTAAGTCTTACGGAGTTTGTTTTTTACTTTGTAATCTAAAGAGGAATACTTTACCGTTAGAGTCGTATTGTGATATATTTTTAAACGCTCCTCTAGGGGTTATTTTTAATGTTAGTATTTTTTTTATTAATTAGCTTCTATCTTTAGCTTTGTAATCGTTTCTTAGTTTCGAAGTTTTATTATCCTTTTTGTTACAATAAATTTCAAAGTTAAAATCGGTACAATGTGTCGCGTCTGGTGTCAAACGCCGCCGTTTTCTTATTGTTTTTTTTTCTGTTTAGTACTTTTTTTATATTATGTAATTATTCGACTTATGTACTGATAACTCTCTTTTTATAATAGTAGCTGACTAATAGTCCATTTTGTGTGGAAAGATATCTCCATAAGAACCTTTGGTGACTTTATACATTTGAAATACAAAATTAGTCGAATCGGTCAGGCCGTTTTCGTGTTTTGGTTTAACATCATATTTAGCGATCCATTTTTTAGACTTATTCTTATTGGATAAATATGACTTTGGTCAAAGGAAAGCATTATTTTTAAAGATGATAAAAAATAAACATGTTTTTTTAATCGCTGCGTATTTGCATTATAGGTATTGCTATATTTGTGGTACATTTTCTAAAATTGCGGGACAAAATTGCGGAAAAAATACAAATGTGGTCACCTGACACGTTGCTGTGTGTAACTTGTGAGATTTACACAATAACCAATAAAATAATCATTGACAGTTATGATTTCTTTTTGTCAGAAACAATAAATGTCTATTTATTTCTCATTAGCTATGCGCAATAGCACAATTTCAACTTGAAAATTTCCTAAAATGGTTCAAGTTACGTGTCTAAATTATTAGACGGACTGCGTCCATGTAACTTCCTTCCTTTAATTACATGTTCGTTAAACAGTATCGTTAGAGACGAGAGTTTTTGTACTTCGCAGAGGAAAGGTCAGAGTAATCGCCATTTAGGGGTAGAAGACTTTATGATGCAGATTTGCTTTAAATTTCACGCTCTATCGGTCTATGTAGTTTCAACATGTCTTAATCTTGTCCTTATACGACCCCTATATTTTCTGTACCTTAAACTAGCCTTTATTTTATGCTTTACTGAAGTTTTGTGCGAATCCTATGATGTTTACGACCTCTCTCCGCCAAGGTATCGACATACAAAAGCAGTGCCATAGCTAATAAAGAGAACCTCCCGAAATCCTTTTTCAAATAAAAATGTAAGAAACTGTTATAAATAAAGTTCACGACCTATATTCGAAACTGCGATCGATAAGAAAATGTATTTTGTCTGTGTACAAATAAGGTTTTTAATGCTGCATCAACTCCTTGGCCGTAATGTATTAGTAAAAAAAATAATAATAATCTATTGTCACTCAAATGAGGTTTTTGATACGTCTTCCCAAGTTTATTAAGTTAATTTAATTGCAGTCAACAAAATGTTTATTTGTTTGGACTGTCGTGTGATTTTCGTTTTATAGATATTTAGCTAACCATACTTTATTTCATATATTTGCATAATAAATTAATATCTAATATCTTATAACAAATTAACAGTAGAACATTTAGATTTAACGAACACGTTTTAGCTTAAACACATTCCAGCAATGATATAAAATTATAATTTTCTCTTGATAGCCGTAATCCTATCTGATTGAATCGAAAAGAGAATGAATTGAAAAGAGGGCCCTCTTATAAAATCTATAAAATCCTCTTATAAAATTATAAAATCCTATAAAATATATCATAACTATTTTACTTCGTGTAAAATGTTTATTATTAGCAAATAGATCACTTGCCTCTTCTTGAATATCGCAAGAACGTATAAAGTGTTCTAAAAATTTTTTATCGATTGTAATTATGTAGTTGATTACTATATAAAACGACTTAAATATGTTAACAGAAATATAAATATATATTTTGTAACTGATCTTCTAGATATGAATATATTATGGGCTTTATTAAAATTAGTAAAATTTTCAATGCTTTTCGGATGTCTTTTTTTTATTTTAGATGAAATTGCATTGATGCAATACTTATAATGGATGAATTTTTCAGTAGATTTTATTTATGCATGGTACTACAGGGTAAACAATAAAATTACCCTAATATTATTGTTTTTAATTAGTAATGTTGTCTAGTTGGCTTCATAAATTCAAAATTAAAAACCAAATAAGCTATGAAAGATGTGTGAAAAAATGTGCACTTCTAAAGTACTTTTAGTTGCATAAAAGTGAAGTCAAATGTTTTAAGGAATAGTAAGTTTATTATTATGATACACAGACAGCAACAATTCAGAGTAGGCAAAGGACCTTCATCCATACGGCCATGTCTTATTATAATCATATTATTTGTGACATTATTCAGTAACTCTCTTTTTAAGAGTAACCAATTAAATGCCTTTTAATATATAGCTTTCTAGTAGCATGAGCGAGTTTTATTACATTTTTAAATTGCAGATAATTCAGAGATTTATTGCATAATAACAGTATTCATGGAAAAGATCTAATTACCAATGTTTTATTGTATTCATTGTATTATTTTAAATTTGAATATTGTATTTACGTAATGTAATAATATTTTTTTCGTGGCGTCATAGTCTTTTTATATACATTCTAGTATATCTGTCTACTCTGGATTTAAAACTTTCATACCTCAGTAAATTATTGAAATACTTATTTTGTTGTTGTGCTAAATTATCGCGTTTTTCATGCATATTCCCTATTGAGCTTGACCAATGAGATCAAATCAAATAAATTAGAGTCCTTCGCAGTGTTGTTGAGATTGAGTTATACTGTTGTTGCGATATCGATAATTTGAAAAATATCGATAATTCGTTAGTTTATTGAATCGCAACAATTCTGGTTGACTTTGTGAAATCCGTTTTGTGGTATTATAATATTATATAAAGTTTACTTATTCATATGTAGCCTGCCATAATAAATGCAGATAATGTAAATTAAATTAGAGTTTAAAATATTAAATGTGATTTATAAATAATGTGTCTATAGCGATCGAACGAGGGAATTATTTTCTCTAGTGTAATATTATGTGTATGAATTGTATGAGTATGAAATAAAGTCATGATTTAACCGTTCTTACAATATTGTTTTTTTTTTTTTAATAATTAAACCGTCTGGCAAAATTCAGGTTTATGACTACTAGTGTATTTAGTGAAGGCAATGAAGATAGGTAACTAGGGGTGTTATTTAAACGGTTAACAAAGTAATTTGATCTTAGTCAGTAAAAGACAGGCTTGTTCTGCGGATAAATCTGTCTCCCAAAATCGTCTGATGGCGTACCGTAGTTCGAGGTACACAGAGTGTGCGAGCGATGCGACGTAATACCCCGCATCAGCTAAAGCCACTGCCCTAGCTACATCAGTTGCATCGAGTAGCATTTTTTGTAATCACAAACAATGAGCAAACACTATAATTTCAAATTAAACAATATTCGCCCACTATGATAGAAAATAACAGGAAATGTGTCAGGGACAAAGTGGGATTTTTTTAAGAATTTTTCATTATGAATATTGATCAAACTTAATAAATAAACCAAAATGTTTGATTAAATATATGAACAATAAAAAACATATAATTTTAAAAGAATATCAACTCAGTCATTGATAAAGATTCATTAATAAATTAATAAAATATTTTTATTGCTATAGCAGGAATCCAGGCTAGAGAGTTTTGGCGGTCGCTCTGCAGAATCTTCGGTTGCTCTTGCTAGTAAAGTAGTGAGAAAGATGGTAGGTGTGCAATAGCACGCAGCGGATTCCTCGAGAATAGACAACAGCAATATTTCTTTATCAAATGCCTATTCTGAGCGACATTAAATAGTAGGGTAGGTCGAAGTATGAGACCTGTGAATGACATCTTGTAGTGATATCGTATTATAATATAATAATTTGTACCGTTTTAAAAGTGTAAAAAATACTTGACGCCGTAAATCAAAAGTTTACCATAACGGAATTTTATTGAATGGTAACCTCGAATGGTAAACTTTAGTTTTACGGCGCGACCGTGCGACCATAGCGAGTAGTGAGGATGGGGCCCGATCGCGCTAAATATCGGGTGTGGAATCCGGAACACTTTCGTATGGAAGCGCGCGGGCGTCCGTAACGGTGCGTCGTACCATACCGTTTATTTCGTCATAGGTTCTCGCATCCAAACTTTTTGTCTATGATTGTTAACATAATTTCTTTTTTATTATTCACTTTTCGTAATTTGAAATTTTGAGTAACGCGATATGCTTTTTTTTCTGAATATCAGTTCTTGAAAATTAATCCAATGAAAACATGGCATCAATTAGTGATACTTGTGATCTTAGAATTTATCAGAATAAGTATCACGTGTCATAAATCAGTAAAAAAAACCTATCACCCGAGAGAGGAGTATGTAACTGTTTTACCTAACTACTTAACTTGTTAGAATTTAAAAAAAACATTCTTTTTATTGGTTCTTACAGTTGTGTTGTTTATTTACTCTATAAAATATATTAAGTTATAAAGCTTAGTCAGCCTTTAATTTACCTAAGCACCGAACCCGTCACAACTTAAATGCAGTGTGGCCTCATAAAGTGTTTTAGTTTAACACCCGGTTTTGGAATTAAGAATTTAAAATAAAGAACGTTTCAAACTGCACTCAAACAAGTTTTCGTTGCCGATTTTAGTTGCTAGCAATTTGTTAAAATTAGGAATTTTTGACTTGTGAAACGTGAAAAACTTAAGTTATTGAGAGTAATCAAATATAACTTTTTAACCGTTTTCTAATCAGACGCATGTTTTCTATTCATGTGTCAATCATAGTGCAATGATGCGAGTTCAGCCGTTTGGTCCAATAAGTTATTTTTTATGGCGATAAAAAATAGCGATGAATCTTTCACTCATTGTAGAAGTTAATTTATTCACTTGACATTAGCTGAATTATGCGAAATAAGCTATTAATAAAAGAAAAAGTCCAATAAGATAATTTATGGTATAGTCTATGTTATAATCACAGAAGGAACTTAAATACTACATAATTATTCAGGCAAGGTTTAAATTAAACAAAGTAATTTTAAAAATTTTATTTAGGTGTCCTTTCGTTATTACAACTGAAAATTTACACACGCTATTACAAATCGGTAGCAAAGCTATGATTTTTCATAATATTTATCAGCTATTGAGATGTCTATAGTTCTAAAATTATATATTTAGTTCATTGGGCAGGGCTCAAAAACAATTCATTATTTTTTTTTGTGCGCAAACAAAAGTATATTTAAAAATAGGAACTTATTTTAAATCATATTAGTGCTATGAGATAATCTTATATCACCTAAAACAGAATTAAAAATAAATCAACAAAATATTTCTTATTTTATTTGTCACAATATAACAATATTTTTGAGGATTTTTTGCATATGTAGGTGTAACAAAGTAAAATATTCTTTACAATTATCTAGCTGTCCGTATTTATTACTAAATACATACACACTTTGAGAAGATGTATTTATTTTATAATAGCACTAGAGTAATACATATATGTATTAAAAAGCTTTAAAAAATAACATTGTCTTTGAGTGATTTTGGAAGGATAAGATGGACATTACAGACTAGAGATTGGATATAAAATAAATATAATTGAAAATATTCACTCAAATATTCAATTTTAAAACACCTCTGTAACGACATTCCATCAATTATCAGTTTACAAATCAAAATTTATCTAATTATACCCTGTTTCTACAGAATTCCATTAAGAATACAAAGAACATCAAATATTAGGTATACTCGTATTATTTAAATAGTTGGAACTATCAATAAAGTAATTTGTAACAACAAAACATAACATTGTTAAATAATCAATCACTTATGAATTAATTATATTATTGGAGTCATATTAGAAATCGGCTCGGCCGAAACATTTTTGTCTAACTCTTTTAATTATATTGTCATCTGGAGTCAGTTTCCAATCTAGAGATTTTGGTTCGAGATCATCATTGTCTTGAGACTGGGACTCGAACAAATCTCTAGAATGATGTCGAGGTACTTGCTCTGTTTTATATTGTCTTTTGTATTTGTTTTCCTTCGATTCTTGCTTTGGAGTATTAACAGAAGGTTTAGGGGTCTTCCAAAGAGGTTCGTTACTTGTCTTCTTTATTACCACATTCGGTGGTGAGAAATATGAAAAGAACGGGCTAGATGACTTTGTTTCTCTGTTTTCTTCGTTGTTTGGCATGTCGAGGAAAGAGAACGTGTAATCTGCGTCGTACACCTGTTCTCTCACGTAAGAAGTGACGTGACGTCTATTCAACTGATTAGGGGAACATTCGATGCCCCTTTGACGAGGCTCGTGACCATTTTCTTTGCAATATCGTACCTGACATTTTTTTATGTCCACTGTAAAATCGTGGTACCTCTCTATATTAGCAGCGCATTTGAAGCAAATCGTGTCCAAATAATCGCTTTCTTCGATGACCAATTTAAGACAAACTAGAATCTTTTCGATCATATTAGTTCTGCGACAGTAGTTTCCATACAACGATACGTTAAAGTCAGTTTCTGATAAACACAAACGGCAACATTTACGTGAAATATCCATAATATTATTTAGTTATACTTTTACAGAGACGCAATTAATATTTATGAACAATCAAAAGTATAATTTAACAATTCCCGCCATAAAACGCCATAATATTAGGACGTTCGAAAACTTACCTACTGATATTTTTGGGATCATTGGAATGTAGCATATTTTTAAATGGCCAAGAAAATATATTGCCAAATAATTATACATTGGACGGCTCAGTTGTGTGTATACAATTGCCCTTGTAGTTTTAAATTTGCAACAATTATACATTATATGCTTCTACTTTGAATTTTTAACAAATGTATTTATTGTTTTTGAACGTTGTTTCTGAAGTTGACATAGAACGTATTTTGTGTTGATTTTTTAATTTCATTTTTAATGTTCAGTTTTTATTGTACACTTTGTACGTATATAGATAATATTGAATATAATGTAATTGCTAAAGAAATAATCTATTAAATAATTAAACAGTAACTAGATTATTTGAAACTGGTTATGGTTAATTATTCAATACGTGGAAACACAAAAATTAAGGGTTAATGAAAATTTGAAAATGGAATATACATATAATAAATATAAATCGATCAATTTATTTCTCTAATATCATCGATCCTCAACTACTATCACAAGCCACCACACTCCTATTAAATAGATGTGATTGTATTATTGATAGTAAAATACCTAATAAATTAATAAATATAGACAGTCGTCGTTAAAAAGCGAAGCTTTTTTTTCTGGATTTTATAAGTTTAAACACCGCGCTTATAATTTTTCCTACGTTTATAATCTTCAGTTTTAAATTTTCGTGCCGTAAACCGTGAAGTTACCATTTATAAGCTTAAGTAATTTTTAAAGTAATATTATTTATTTTGTGATTTCATTATACAGTAAACGCTTTTAGTGTACGATTTTTGTTTGATAATAATAATAATAATCACAATTTCAAATAATTTAAAATTGTTTTCTTTTTCAGAGATTTTTTATTTTTAACATCAGATTAACTGCAGTTTACGGTCGAAAGTGAAGGCTACATCGGGAATGGACTAAACATTATCTTCTTCTTTTTTGCCCCAAAACTTGTCGAACCTCGTACGAGCGCGGTCTAGTACTTCGGACGCAGTCAGGCCTCCAGTAGTCGGTGTTTCATTGACAACAGTCGTGTCTACTATTCCTGGAGCGACTTGGGTCGCTTCAGTAGACTTTTTAATCATCTCCTCCTTTATCGGCTCCTGTGTAGGAGTTTCGGGCGTTAACTGATTACTATTAATTCCATTAAACCCGTTCACGTTGTTCATATCTAAGGCTTTTGTCTCGTCGATCGGAGTAAGGCTAATGGGCGTAGTAGGCGTCTTGTCGGTGCGCTTGCTGAGGCTATTTGGAGATTCGCTCTTTTTCAGCGAACGAATTGGAGACATTTGTTGATGGTGAATTGGGGCGATTTCTGGAACAGTTTGCTATGTTGAGCCTAGAGCACTAAAGATAGCTTTTTTGGAGTTTCAAATTCTTCATTTTGTTTATTAATTTTAGGTATGAGAATTTGAAAATCCAAAATGAATTTTAACATCAATAAAATTTAAAGCACATAAAATGTATACACATTTCGAAATGAAAAGTAGGTAGTGATAACATTCACGTTGTGTATAAGATCTGGATTCTTAGTTCATTAATATTGTTTGGATATTTTAAGTAATTTAAACATCCATATTTAATAATAGTCAATCGCTTAATATAAAAATATTATTAATAAGAAAAAGATTACTTTAGCTGGTAAATTTTTGGCTTTTACATTTAGTCCAATTATTTCATTAATTAGTTTTCACTTATACATGCTACCCTAAATTCACGATTAAACCATGCGGGCTTCTGATTACCTACGAAATACACTACCTATATATTTCATGCGATTCGAGTTTGAAAATATTTTTCTGCTTCATAATGCACTTTAATAGAATACTATGTTTTCAATCTCAAATTATCGATGAAACCGTTTCTACGTTAAAATGTAAATCGGGAAACAATTTTTGAAAAATGTATTATGAAATGACCCTGAATAACTAGGGAAAAGGTGCATGCAGTCTAACCTAAACGATTCATTGACATACCATTTAATGGTTTTAGCATGGCCTAGGCTAAATAAGAACATAATTAGAAAGATTATAGATTATAAAAATCGTCAAAGATGCTATTATTCATTATCTACTTGTAATAATTAACTAATCTGTTAGTGACTTTATAAACACAGTACAGTAAATAAGAATCGTTGCTAATGTACGTATTGGATGGATAGTTGCACCTTTTATTCTATAATCTAGTAATATCTAAACAGCATCTTTACGATACATTAGGACAGGCAGCATGCAAAAGTGAACAAGAATGAAACGGGACGATAGGTTAAGTGCCAAACAGTGACATACGCAAACATCGAAACAGACACACACACTGACGAGTGAATACATACGTGGTAGACGCCTCAGCGGAGTACGGTCAAAATAAATAAAAGCATCTCAATTATTGGAATAACACAATTTAATCATGGTCTATCAATAAATATAATATAAAACAGATTATATATAAATATTTCTGGTGTCGATCGTGTGTCGTGCTTATGTGGCAGTGATCTCTAATTTTGACTTTGAGTCGTGTGATTTAAAGTTCACTGTCGCATGACTGTCTGTCACACTCATTAAAACGTGTATGGCCGATGGTCTAGGCGGTGACGGTGGTCGTCGTACCTGCCGGCTTCACGGTGGCGCCTTCCTCCGCTATTGACCCACCCTTAAACTCAGAGTTAGGGCGCTTAACACTTTCATCTGAAATAATGGCGAGCTGCTGTATGATGTGACGTGAAACGATGAAAGTTACGTTCTATACCCATTGAATGTCAAATACGGAAATTGCATTAAGCTACGGAATACTGAATTATACAGACTAAGAGATTTTTGAAAATATATAATTCGACATTTGCCTGGACACAGAAACGAATGCTAATAAAAAGAAACAGATGGTAGATGCGTGTTTAATGTAAAAACTTATACAATACAAATAGTGGTATGGAAATGAGACGAACAGTTTTAATGAGTGTTGCCATAGTATTGCAATGCACATGATTTTAAATTGTGTTTTGATGGGTATTTGACTTTGTGTAGATGTCAGTGTTTGAAGCTTTCTACTTCTGTTTCCGGGGTTCTGGGGTTGCTAATCACACTTTTTGATAAAGTTAAATGGTATAATGAGTGTAAAGATATTTCTTTAATAAAAATATCTAGTTTTTTTATGGTGATTAATGGTCTTGATAATATGGCTTCAATAATGTACCTAGTATCGTTTGCCTACACTTACAATACCATGTCAATATCTAGTATTATATTATTAATGTAATACCTAGATCTAAAGAGAATCTTGTTCGCGGCGATGATGTGCAATTAGAAGGACAAAAAGTAATATGGTGCATAGGAATCTTAAAGACGAAATATCAAGTATTTTCATTTTATATGGATGTATTAGAGTTTATATTACAGAAACCAACACCTATGAAAAACTTATTCATACCATGAATAAGACACTCTTTAATAATATTAAACTAAATTGTGATAGTATCTATTATTGCTTAAAATTATTATACATACCTACTTCACGTATAAAGTCTTTTAATGGGTTCTTTTCTTTAAATTATGTAAATAAAAAAGCTTTGATGTTATCATGGATTTAGTACTCATAGCAGGATAGAGTAATCCCAGCTGAAAAGCGAATCGAGCGAGATATCAGGTACAGAGGCTATTTGTCCCTATCTCATAGGGTGAAAATAACATTTTGATTAAGTGAGACTTTTCAAATGATATGGTTGTTTTTTAACTACTGCGGCTATTATCGTAGCTACACAATAATCTTTGAAACTTTTATAGACTTTTCGATAATTTTTTTCTTTAATAATCGACGAGTGATATCGCAGGAATCGCGCGGCCTTTATAATATATATGGAGAATCACAATATCTATTTACTCATGAGATTGCACAATTTGTCAATATCGGTCACAAATCTCCTCTACGTCGATTTACTTATTCATAAACCTTTTAAACCCTTTCAGAGTGATGACTGCAAATAACTGAATTTTGTGCTTCATGTATTTGTCCCCAACTGTTATATATTTTTGCCACATTTCTTAATTTTTTGGAAATCTGTATTAATACTTCGCTATGACCACATATACCTTCGTCCACATATTAAAAGACTTCATGGTAAACGTAGTTGTTAGATTTACAATGTAATTGTTTTTTTCTTAATCGTAAAAAGGTATTGCACCCACTACGAGATTCACTTGGACAAACATAAACGCAATACTTTTCACTATTTTAACTGATGGAATGCCTAAAAAACTACTGAAATAAATATACCAATTACTAGTCACCATCATGATACTTCAAAGGGGCACCATTAGAAAATAAGTGAACAAATAGCCTTGATAATAATTATTTTTGTAATAATTTAATATTAACGACATTAATATAATTATATTATTTTATTTTAAAAGAGTTGGTATTTATTTTTTTATAATGGAAAGATGAAAGAACGAGACACACGGCCTCCGTTGTGGTTATCCTTTTCGGCTTTTATTAGCTTTTGTACAAGGAGCCATTAAAAGTATACTTTAACTGATAGTGATAAGGTTTTTGTAATTACAATTTTTCGAAATTATAAGTACTAAGTCCATGTATGCTATAAAATATAAATATATCGGTGCTTTAATTGTTAGTACACAGCTTATAATAAGTATAGATTCAAATGAATACGGCCCGATACAGTCAAAACATGTCTGATTATTTTCTACAAAAGGTCAAATTCCTCCAATATCTGTATATTAATCACAAAGTTTATTATTGCTTCTGTTGAAATTTGGACATTGTACCTAATTTTCCGCTGTGAAATGTTGATATTGTTAGTTAAACGTTCGTTAAGTTGCTGCACGATTCGCTTTCACTTAGAAAAAAATAATTTTGATAATCGGTCAACAAAAAACGTAGATTGCCTTCAAACATATAAGTTCCTCCTTTTCGATTTTGAAGTCAGTTACAAAAGAATACTTTAATAAATGGCTTTAATGACAGCGATGCCGTCTTAGTTCCCGGTTGCTAGCGCTAGTGTGTTTGGGGTTAAAATCCATTGCAGGAAAGGAGAACTTTTTTGTATGGAGGATGGTACTTTATTCAAATTATCTAATACTAAGCATAAAGTATATATTAATCGATAGAGGGCAAATAAACCTTACACATGATAATTTTATTTTATCTTTAAGTGCCGCCAAAATGTTTATTATCAATGAACATAATTTGGTGGGTATTTTATAATTTATGTAGCAACACATAAGTGCATTAAGAAAATCTATAGCAACACCATCCCTAATTCATGCTGTGAATTAATCTATTTGGACAATATGGAACCTTTATTTTTAATTTCTATTAATTATTGATATTTTAGACATCTAAATGTCAAATACAGAGATAATTTAAACGAATGGAAGCTCTTCGACGCAAATTAGGCCCGATTTGAGTCTCTTCGGTGCGTAACTTATTATAATAAATATATAGTTAACAAATTATTCTGAAATAAAAAAAAAAAATATTATTTCGATTTTCACTAGGGACGCCAAGTTATAATAAGGTGCTTTGGGGCAATACCCAAAACAGGCAAATCCTGAAAGTGACGAAATAACAACAAATCAGGCATTTTGTGTCGGTAAAGTTGACTATTAAAAAGGCTTTTACTACATAAAAAAACGATTAATTACATTAAATATTGTTTTATTGTAATATCATTATCGGAATTTTCCTGCTTTCGTAATGACCCTAAAGTACACTATCGAAGGCTAGGCAGTAGACAAAGATCCCTTTGCCTTTGTTTTAATTTGAGGCGTTTTCTTTTTAAATTGGGTTTGTGGTTGTGCATATTAGTGTTTCTAGGAAAACTAAACAATTTTTATTAACTTAATTCTCTTAAACGGGGGAACTTTCAGTCCTGAAACTTTGATGAAAGGTAGAAGATTGAGTTTATGTGCTATAATCGATTTTTTCGGAACGAAGTACCAAAAAAAACATTCTCCTTTGGCATTATATGGTAACAAGACTTGCAGCGTTCGTTATTTATTTTTACAAAACCAGTTGAAAATTAATGATTTTGGATTCATGCGCTTTCTTAAATTTCGTTTTACGTAGCCAATTTTAGCTACGTATTAAGACAGTTTGTGAATTAAAATCCAAAAAATATTTACGAAAGTATAAAACTTTGTTTTTTTTATGAGTTGTATCCATGAAATAAAAAAACGTAATCAAAATGGCCGTTTATTAAAATCTTTTTTCCTTATTATGAAAGGCATACCCATTAAAAGACTTCATAGTTTAATTCCTTACAGCGAACCTTACAAACAGACCGCACTCACCGCTCTTTACGTTTTGCGTGACGGTAAATGTCTTCCCGGTGTCTAACGGGACCGTCCAGTTGACCGGGTCAGGGGAACGCATGTTCATTTGCTCCGGGGACTTCACTCGGGTAGGTTCCGGTGGCGATTTGACAATCGGTGAGTCATCGAAGAAATGATCTTTTGCAACTGACGCACTCCGGTGGTTGGGTATCTCGTCGTCTGTAAAATGTGCGAGTAAAATTATAGAACAACATTTGAGTTGTGGCTGTATATACTAGACGCATTTATTGTTGAATATTAAAAAAATTGATTGTATAAACGTGGAATAGTAGTATTCTTAATTTAAATCATTTTTTTTAAAATATAAGTAGGTAGCCCAATTTATTTTTTTAGTTTACATACTTTTTGGCTCCACTATAGGAAGTTCATAGTTTTTTTTTTTACTGCAATAAAAAAGTAAAGAAGAGTATAATACCCGGAAATTGTTAATGCGCCTGTTTAATTTTCCATATATCTCAATATTAACAAATAGATTTATTATTTCCAAATATTCATGCAATAAATTAACAAACTAATATTATTTTGAGTTATCAATACAGACAGTATTTTCATATGACGTTACACGGTATTCAGACAAGGTTCCAGCGCATTAGCAATTTACTGGATTAACAAAATTAAAACAAAATTTTAATTACATGTCCAAAATTTTTGTTTGAAAATAACAAAATAAAAAATATTATAGTTTTCGATAACGACAATCAGCTTTTAAATGTTTAATATAAACATCACATGCAAATAAAACCAATTTTAAACAATTATCTCAGTATCCATAGTCCTATTTTTTATACTTTTACAAATGTATAAGCCAGTTCTCATTTTGTTCCACGGTTTCAATTATGATTGTAAGCAATCAACATTTTTCTGCAGCATTCAAAAGTGGAATAACAGTATTCTTTTTTTTTTATTGACACAGATTACATTATATAAATCAAGTTGAAGGTATTTTAGACCTCACAGAGATAACTTAGCTCTTTTATACGAATAAGCCAATTCCTGAGTACAAAAACAAATATTTTTATTATAATATTTTTTAATAATTCATATCAATACTGTTGACACGTAGGAATCCACACACAGTATATGAAACCGTGTGTGTACATACACATATAAGTAGATCACAGCGCGCGGTAAATCTAACCGCCGCTTATATTATGATACCTACTTCATATTGTGTTCGTTACGGTAAATTATATTTACGAAGTTCTCTCTTTTGAACCTGCTAACATCAGTGATAAAGAAGATGCTATTTATTATATTACCTACTGTATACGCGAGGATACGAAACGATCGATAATTTTTATCTGTATTTTTTTTAATCTGTGCCAATTCGAATTTGTTTCAAAGTTTTACTTTTTATATAGAACTTAGGATTAATGAGACTATGGATAAAGAGTTTAAGGAAATAAATACACTAACACACAGACAAATTAATATCTAATAATTTGCAAACATTTTTTGTGCGTGGACGGTGGTGTAAACTCAACTGTCTCCATAAACCCTTAAATTATAATAAAATAATTCATGTACATAATCTCAAAAGAATATATTTAACAAGATTCAATGTAGCTGTAAATGTTAGTAAAAAAAAGGAAATATTACTATTTATATTCATGACGAAATCTTGCGTTTCATTCGTCTAAATCGGACACCATTGATGTCCTACTTTAACCCATTTTATTCCGGTTTAACCTCGAGCGTACTCCTTTATCCTGTTCTTATAATTGCCTCCTAGTTTCAATTTGGTTCCAACAAGGCTTTACTCTAGCACAACTAACCCCGCAACGACGGAAACTACATAGTGCATTTGTGTAACAGATGGGACAGACAAAACCACTCGACTTTACATAAAAGCCATTCTCGCTTGTGGTGCCAATGCCATTGATCAAGTGACTACTTTGTTGCGTAGACGCACTGCTGTTGATTAAAAAACACTTAAAAAGCAATAGGTATGTCTTAATTAAAAAACTAGAAAAATCTAGAAATAAAAAATAAAAGCATTTTTGAACTGAAAAATTAGCCAATTGTAGGTAAAAATTAAATAAGCAACAACGTTTTTATTGCACGTAGCTGAAAGTTTAAGAATTTCAAAGCCAATGTAGATATTTCACCAATTATTTATTTTTATCATCATTATTTATCAAAATAGTTGTTTTATAAAATCTTTTTATGAATACAATTTTATTTAACAAACTATCGATTATTAAAATAGAAGTTAAAGATAGATAGGATAATATATGTTATAATTTAATTCTTTTTTTAATTATATAACGAAACGCAAATTTCTAAACTTCTGTATTTCTTTCTTGGCATATGCTTAATAACTCATAGTGAATAGACTCTTTAAAAATATTATTATAGATGCTCCAAAATTCATAACTCCATTGCTAGCCTACAATTAGAATTTGAACAAGAAGTTATGGAAAAAAAATATTCAAGCCCAAACGACCCAAGGAACATAATCGTGAAGCAGGCACAGACACAGAGCGTCGACGCAACCGTCACTCCTGTACGCACCCAGTTTTATGCCCACTTTTGACACGCTGCGACTGCGGCGGCCCCTGCCCGGAGTCCCCGTTGCCCCGTTCACCATCTGTGCCACATTCGGCCCAGTCCCATTAACCCCGGGCGTACCAGTTTTGCTCGGCGCTGACGGGGAACGTCCCCCGCGCGATGTTGACCTAACTCTATTACTAACCCCTCTACTCAACGGCAAACCTACAGAAAAAAAGTCACTACTCATTTCTAGCCGCAGAGCAATTGGCTCTAATTTTGAATTCGTAGATGAACTGAATTTTATCAATGTAAAAAAATATTTCATATATCTTTTTTTGTCTGTCCTAATAGAGCCAATTCTCATTATTCAGCTACAAGGATGGGGACAGGCACCAAGCAGGAATACGACAATTATTTTATTAAAAGCTAATGATTATAGACGTCAATTAGCGTTAATCATAATAATTAACTACGACAGAAGAGGAAAAATAAAGAGATAGATATATTGTGTTCCAGAAATGTAGATAATAATATTAAAAGGAATAAATACACAATCATACAGTTTCTTAAGATAGCTCTATCCAACAGTTTTTATTTTATATTCTTCTATGTAATAAAATTACACCGAAATATTACGATCTAATAAAGTTTGCATATCATTTCCATTGGATTTGTGCACATAAACCCTTGACCTTATTTATCACCGATCACAGAGAAACTCGCATAATAAAATCCGTTCATATCGGCATAGTCTTTCAACCTACATTCATCATAAGTATTTTTATTCATACTTTCTGTAAGCAAGTTACTTATTTTCGGGAGTTTCGAGAGCAGAATTACTTCGTTAAAATTTTCTAGAGTAACTGAAAATTTGCGAGAATGGACCAACAAAATTAAAATCTGAAGGGGACTTTCGCACTATAGTCAAATTATGATAAGGAAGGCATTTTATTTAGTACCGTATCTAAGAGAAGGTACCTTATTTAATAGGTACTTATGTATGTACAATTAATAATGTGGTCAATTGAAACTTCAAGTATTAATTTATTTTATCAAATTTATAGTAGTGATGTGGAATTTTTATTTTGGAATTTAACATAGCAATCAATTTATAATCATTCTAAGGGCACTAATTTTCTTCAATACTGTTCCACATAAAAACAATTATAAACTTTATGCATTCTTCACTTCGGTTCCTAACTCTGATCTTTACACTGTCACAAGAAGTTTTTTGTTTTATCAGCTTTAAAGACTTATTATAATCGCTCCTGCACACGACAGTTCAAAGCGGCAAATCCAAATGGAATTCAAACTGAGTGACGTGACAACTGACCAGTAGGCTTGGGCGGGCGCGGGTGCGGCTCGTGGCCGTTGGGCAGGTGCTTGCCGAGCGGCGCGGGGTGCGCGGGCGCGGGGTCCGCCGAGCGCGGCCGACGACGCGGCGACCGGAACGCTGAGTTCTCCCCGGTTTTCGCACCTGTGTTTGAGAAAGAAGAAAGTCATTTGGAAGGTACAGCCGATCACGTCCCATGATATATGACGTTAAAGAGGCAACCTTTTAATTGAATTAATGGAATGATGCATGGAATTAATAGCCTTCGCTTTGTTCTATAAAGACTAATTATATGTTCAACTTATGTCCTACAGACTTTGAAAGTTGTATTTACTATTGTGATAAATTGATAATACATATTATTTTGGTAATGACATCATTTATGTAAATGTAATTTCATAACTTATGATAAAAAGCTGGTAAGTTTCTTTCGCTTGTTCTTCTTGTCAGCTAAAAGACGTCCTGAACAAGTGGTAGGGGAAAAAAGTTTTTTGGATGATTCAAAAGTGCTTGTAATAGCCTACTTGAATAAAGATATTTTCATTTCATTTCAATTACTTTTTAGTAATAAGACCTTAAATTATTGCGTAGTTTGCCATAAAAAGAAGAATTAACACTGAACGCTGAAGTAATGTCATTTCTATAATGATTCGAGTGATAACATACTACTCACCATCGTGAGCCGCGCCCTCATCGAAGCTATGTCCTTGAAGCTTCTTCCTCTGCTTCTGGGGCGAAGTCTTATGGGGGGACCGTTCCAGAGCCTTCGTCTCCTGGAGCTTCGCGTGGATGGACTGATGAGGCGCTGATCGGAAAGATCTGAACTTCTTAGGAGAGTGACCCTTTGACTCCTTGCCGTCCTTCTCGTCTCTTGGCAACGGTCTGTAGGTAGAAGCGAGATGACTGAATCTTACTTTTCTTCTTAGTTCCCCCAAAAAGGCAATAGGTATTTGTACAATACATTCTACTTTCATCATCAAACAGAGTCTTCGATCGAAATAGACGCAAAGACTCTTAATGGAATTGTCACCGACACTGCTTTAATTTATATTTATTAGTTATTAAAGACAATATGCTTTTATTGTTTGGTGACAAAACCTCTTGGCAACTAGTCGGCTGATGATCTACTACTCTACAATACTTAGCATTTCATGGCTTAATTCGCCATTCAAGCCATTCTTTGCTTAGCATCAGCCTTTTTGCCGCTAAAATATACTTATGATTATGTTCAAGCAGACGTTTTATATCCTGATTGAAGAGTCACCGAAAAACTTATTTTATAGTAAAAGTAGACTTGGAGTTGAATTCCATTAAATTTTAATTGGTCCTTCGAACCGGATATAATAAATCTGTGACGATAAACTTTGGGTGCATCACTTACTTGTGATTGGTGGAAGCAAGTGATAGGGCTGACAGCGAGGACCGTCGCGACACTTGGTACCAGAGCTCGATTTGCTTATTGTAAAGCTGTGTGATGTGTTCAGGAGCAAGTTCGGTTCCCCAGCCACGGTACTGTCGAATAATGGCAATTTTGAGAATGGAAAAGCATGATCATGGTAAGCTCGTAAGTGTGATGTGTCGAGGAAATATCAAACAAAAACGGGAATTGGGATGTAATAAGAGGATACAGTCTATGTGGACTGTAAAGTCTTCACAATAATTTTCGTCATAGTTCCAAAGTGAATTTACAATCGACTTTTCCGTAGCCGTTCGATTCGAATCTTCTGACGTATTCTGAGAGGTATATATATGCTTGACAATGTAATTGTTATATATCCAGCGATTCTTTTGTCACTTTTTCTCGATATTTCCGCTTTGTACATCTCAGCACACGACATGGTATTTTTAGGATATTAAATTCTATACGTCTGGTATATTTTTGTCAAGTGTTTCTATTCTAACGTAATATCTGTAGAGCGCAGACCTTGTATTCACCAGCGCGCTTGCGCAGGTCCAGCACTTCGCGGTACCAGGAGTCGCCCTGCGCGAGTCCCAGAGGTTGCAGACCCGCCGCTCGCAGCGTACTCGCACTGTCTTCCCCCACCGCGCCCTGTCCCTCCCCCGTACTAACCCCAGCCCCAGACTTCCCCCCCGCGCCCTGCCCCGTGCCTGACCCCCCGCTCGCACCTAGCATCCTCTCGCTCGCCTCGTCATTCGTCTTCCCTTTCCCCCTGCATTTCGTAAATGTCCCTTTAGACGCCTCGTACACGTATTGAGAGAACGGTCTAAATTTCTTTTTGTACTCGCTTTTGTAACGTTTCCTATTATCTTTGGAACGATCCTCCCCGTTGGATATGAGGGCCGATAGCGCGCTACGGAACGTCGATTTTCTGCAAAATTCCATTTTAAGTCTTAGACGATTGGAGTTCAATGATGATGCGGCAAAAGAAACTGCTCGCGCCGAGCTAGGTTAGTAAGGTAGACATGCTTCAAATAATTGTTAAGCTCGCAATGGTGAGGTTAGGATGTCAGACAGAAGAGTCCAGAGAGATCGACCGACAGACGTGCGGGCAGCGCCCGGTGACCGCTAAATTCAAATTAGTGTTAAAGAAGTGTTGGGTGAGACATTGACATACAATCTAACAAAAATCTGTATGAAACGTTCACATCGACAAGTGCAGGACACATTGAATAATTTAAAAAGTAATCTATTAGCTGTCATTCAGAACTAGGATCGACTAAACTACTCGGCCTAAACACCGCCACCGTGAGGAGATATAAAGCAAATATCAAAAACGAAATTTAGACTTTGTTCTGCTGTGAGTACTTTTTTAAGAGAGTTGGGGCAGAACATTCACGAAGGAAACTTGTTCTGAGCATTGAAACTGGTTAAATGCCTGGGCGATACAGTAACGAATCACACAAATTCCTTATTTACGATTAAAAAAACTTTTATTCTGTCAAGATATTGAGCAGCAAGGATATCGCTTTCTTTTGCATTTATTAATTTGCTCCAAAGACCAAATATTACACGTATAGGTACAAGAGTTGCAAAGAATGGAAATAAGTGAAATTTTTTAAAGGCAATTTCTTTGGCGCAGTTCATTGTGAATTCAATTTTTGCAATACTGAATCAGTAATGACTCGTTACCGCACTTGTGTTAGAAACCGATAGTGATATTTAAGTTTCCTTCATGATAAATTAAATTACACAAAGCTAGACACAGAAAAATTTAAAAGCTATAAGTAATAACTTCAATCGAAAACAATTTTAAGTCTTCACCTGAAAAGTCACGGAATTTGAAAATGTTATTTCTGTCAAAGGATTATTTACAAGGTCTACTGAAATATACTTTCGATAAAATTCATAAATAAATAAGAAACTGTAAATATTATATATATTAGACCGGAATCTGACGGCTTTTTTATAAATGTGTGGTGTAATAAATATTATATGTCAGTGTGATGTTAAATTTTAATAACTTGTGTGTGTGTTGTGGATCAAGTTAAAGATTTTGATCCAAGTGCTAAACTTGGAGAGGTCATTTGCGAAGAAGCACCTGCTTTAGCCAAAGCAAAGCCATTGATTGACAAATTGAATAATACTGTGATACAAATACTAGTGATTTTATAGACTGTTTCTTTGATAGTCGAATTGTTAAGTGTTATATTATTTATAATAAAAAACAAAGAGTATAATGCATGCTCATATAAAAACTCATAAATAATATAATATGAAACAATCTATAAGTTATATTTCGTACTAGAAAATGGTAAGCTTATAATGAGAGTGTGATAAAGCTGAAACTATTGATTTTAGGCCTGTTCACGAAACTGATATATTATTTACGACTCAAGTTACGGCCACAACAATGTTTCATTGTTGCGGTGACATAATATAGTAGTTTTGTCAACAAGCTTTATATACGTATAAGCAATAGTAAATTTAGAACTAAGTTGATTATCTATTTCGTTGGAATCTCTTCATTCTTTTCTTTTCTTATCGTATTTTTTAAAAACGTTTACTTATTTTGACGCATCTGTGTTAATCGCGATATCATTATTCTTTGATACATTTTTAATAAACAACGAAGTAGATATATCAACAATTTATCTATCGTCATGGTCAATTACTGACCTCTGCACGCCAGGCTTCTGCCCGTTCCAGAGGTAGTCTTCTATGTACCGCTTGTCATCGTGGTCATCCACATGGTTCATGAGAGGCTCCGCTTCCACGGACCCTGAAATAGTTGGTTTTTCGTTCACGAAACATCACTGATATACAAACCTTCTTGACCAACTTCTGTCAAATTTTCATATACTTTGCTTGCCTATTGATACGTTATAAATACTTGTCTTTATTACAAAGTTTTTTACCAAAGGTACCCACTATACTGCATAAGTTATACATTTACGTTTTTATATTATTATCTGTATATGCCTAAAATCTAAATTGTAAATAGAATGGGCAAAATGTCTCACAAGATTTTGATTTGATAAATAATAAGGTTCTCATAACTTGGTAATTTCACGCGAATACAGAACGACAGTCGAATAATTTATTAACATTTAATATAGATAAGAGGATACCCATCCAAAACATACCTCTTAGAGAAAACCAATAGGCATATATTTATTTAAGACTATAAATAGAAGGTGAAGTTACCATTGATTTGGATCTGTATGAATAAAAGGTTCCAAGCCCCATATCTATTTATTTCCTTTTCTATTACTTTATTTTACATAGATTAGAATTAAAGTATCGCTTTTCAACTTTAGAACATGAAAAAGCACATTTTGAAATTCTATAATTTGTTAGGACGCTTAGAGTAAATTATAGGCCTTTTATACGATTATACTTTACTATTATAGGGGTACACGATTTATAGGGGTAAATGAAAAATGTATATTACCTATGATTTAGGTTTTCTTTGCCAAATTTCATTAAAATCCTATAAAGCATAAAACGCAGTGACCTTCCGCTGAATGCAGTTTTCATCAATATCAAAGATTCTAGTGGCAGGATTAATGTTTTATACGGGAATACGTAGTGAAGCCGCCGGCGGAATGCTAGTTTTAATATAAGTAGGATAATAGGACATATTAGATGTAAGGTTACATATTACATAGTTTGAGATATTAGTTTGCCTCATTTCTACAATATATATCTTGTTTTCTTGACATTCAAAATTCTTTTCAAGCACATTCGCGACTATTTATAACTCCGGAAATCAACACCGATAAAAGATAGGAGATTAGATGAATAAAGTCTTTAGTTTACTGACATTTCAAAATTAATTTATCATATAGCGATGTACAATCTAAGCAGTTTGTGTTTTTGAGCAGAAGTATGTATATTTACGCCCTTGAGAGTCAATTGTCACCCTTGAGAGTCAACTGTCACCAATAGTAGCCTAAAGGCAGATCGCCAAGTTGCTACTTTAACCCTATTATATACAATGAAGGATACCCTACTAATAGTCTTTTATGTAGAAAGTTCAAGGTGAGCTTTTAAAAATACAAGACCTTCGTTGTCTATTAACATGATTGATGTCTGAACATTTTTCTGCAGTATATTGTGTGTGTGACTTAGTGATACAGTAGGTTAAGAAAATGTACTTTCACTTGGTATACTAGATTTTAATTGCGAAAACAGGAATGAAGTGAATCTGCATATCGTTATCTTTTGATTTTATTAACATGACGATTTAAGAGATTTTCATTTGTCTTGAAAGCGAGGAGTTTAAATAAATGACATATTATGTTCGGCATATTTATATCAGGGATGTTGTTTGGGTGAAAAAAAAAAACGTTTTCATGTAAAGTGTTGCCAACCCCACATGACTCGCACTGTCAAAAATTTATCAGATCTCGTAGCGCCAAGATTCTAACTCTAAACGCCTTAACTCTACAAGTCCTTATTTCACAAACACTACACCTTATTCAAAATAAGATGGCATTAAAGTTGAGAAGTGGGGGCTCGTTACGTCACAACTATGTAGAAAATGTATAAAGGTGTGATATCACGCGACATTTCAACTTAATATATCGTCGTAATTTATTGATTACGCCAAAAATAAAAAATACGTGTTTAATACTCTGACGGACAGAAAAAAAAATTGTCATCATCCATATTCTGAGGCAAACGTTAAAATGGATCAATTTTATGCAATGTATTATTATAATTTACGATTTGATAAGTAAATTTAAAGATGTTAATTGCTGGCTTGGAGTCGTGCCGTGTATGTGTACTTAAAGTACTAGTAATGAGCAAACTCTAATCGCCTAAAGATAGTAGACTGCTATCTCCTCCGTTGTATGTACCTACATTATTTTATCTAAATAAGATGAACGATTTACCTTATTCAGTATCGACTATCTCCTTATCATATCAATTCATCTGAAAATAGACATGGATGAAAAGTATTCGAATCAAAGAGATGAAGTTTTCTCGTGAACCAGTGAGCGCGTTAAGAATTTCTATGGCCATTATAGTTCATGATAGTAACCGCCAAACTGCGGCACCGGTTGTATAGAAGGTGTACGTAAACATAAAAAAAATTTACACCATGTCCTTACTTTCCTATCGTTTGTTTTCGGTACCTAGCATTGTCGACCAAGGAGAAATATTTTACATTGTTTTTATAAGTTCATACGTCCTAAAAAGTTCATTGTAGGGCAGATGATCCGGTTTTTACCACTGATCCCATTTTGGTCATTTGGGACTTCAAAGCGTAGCAACTAACCGATACTCGCGTCGTGTTACAGTTAAATCCGATCTGCCCTATAATTAGAATAGCTTACCCACACGATTTTCTTTTAATGAATTATAACATGTATACTTTAATATATCTAAGAAATAGTTTATTGAAATACTGACCTTCAGCAGCGGCGGCCTTCTTCAACGCTCCCATGGAGATACTCTTCCTGGGTACAGAGTCAGTGGAGTCTTTGGGCCATGCGAATTGGTTCCTATATTCGGTGCTAACCACATCAGGCTCCTTCGCTACCATCACTTCACCTAAGGCTGTGGTCGCCTGCCGAGAGACATTATTACATATTGGAGACATTATTAGTCTTTCTTGTTAGTACATATAAGGGCCTTGTAAGGATTGACGTACACTAAAAACTGAAGATTGAAGAAGGCAAGGAGGAGCTATCAAGTCTGTCAGTATGTATGCTTAGATCTTTAAAACTACGCAACAGATTTTGATACAGATTTTTTTAATAGGTTGATTCAAAGGATTCTTTTATGTATGATACAGGACCGGCGGAAAGGTAGTTGATAGTAAATTTTGGGTCACTCATTCGATAAACGGCTCTTGCAAAAAAAGCGTAAGCAGACTGAATGCGCTAACAATCCTCAAAGAGATATACAATTTCCCGATTTTTTGAATTGAGAATTTAAAGTTAAGAACGTTTCTAATTGCGCTTAAACGTCACATAAACAGGTTTATGTTTCTGAATATCTTGTTTAACGATCAGTTGATAGCATTTTGATAAAATTAGGCCTTTTTGACTCGTGAAAATTAAAAACTTAAGTTACTGAAAAAATCAGTTGGGATTTCGTAGTTTACTCAATTCAGAAACCAGCTGATAGACTCAACTTAAAATTTGTGAAACCATAAAATCGTCTACTGTTTGCCTACGCAACGGTTTCTGGATCTCGCATGGTTGTTAAAGTGAACGTCGAACGACGAGGCAGTCTGGTGCCTTGTGGATAGGGTTACCAACTATTACGAATTTATAACAAAGAGTAACATTTTTAAACAGGTATTTTATAGTTTTGTTGATATTTAATACTATGATAGCAGATATATCGACAGCAGGGTGTGAAATTAAAAATAAAAGAGACTGAAAAAGATATATTTAAAATCATGTACAAACACAAGACACAGCCACAGCAATAAAGTGACAGTCATTAAAATTTTAACATATAAACACCTATCTAAAGAGGCTGGCAACAATAACAATAGGAATGAGTCATATATGCGTGATCATATATACTATGTTTTAGTGCCAACTAAAACATAGTGTGGAAAGAGAGGCGCATTCTGGCGTTCTTTATTAGTATTATACGTTATAGAGTACGCTAACATGTTATAGAGCATAATATTCTATTTTTAAGTACCGGTGGCCACTCCTATTTGTGAGTGTAATTAATATACCTTTGGTTCTACGGTATCGGTCCATCTCGGCTGACGAGGCCCCTCAGACTTGCTGCGCCGCCCGGCGCGGTCTGTGTCATTCCTCTGGGTGCTCTGACAAAGGAATTTTATCTTTTAGTTGCTGTTGGGTAAAAAATTAATCTTTTAGTTGCTGTTGGGTAATAAAATAACTATTAGTCAGCTTTATTGATTGATTTCAATATTATTAAAACGATGTTGCTGGTTTTAAGGGGTGTCACTTTTTGGTTCCTGGGTTCGATTCTTTGTTACGTCAATGTAGAAAATAAGATGTTGGTTTGGGTGCTGTATTCGTTGTTTTCGTTTCTTCATAATACTTCATAGTACTTTAGCTACCCAAATTGGAATCTGAGCAATTTTATATGATTTTGTCGTATATATTTTTTTTATAAATGACGCATATTAAGTTTAATTTAAAAAATACTCGAAAGTTATCAATGTTTATAGATATGACCTATCGTAGCCTACTGAAGAGCATAGATAAAAAAAGGCTTTTAGGGGTTAATGATCTCAAGTGAGGCCGGATTGGGCACGTTGATAAATACATGTTTTAAATGATAACGGCGCTGGAGGCTGCCACTCCGGCGCCAAATCTCACCCAAAGAGAAGCTATAAGAAGAAGAAATGGTGTTGGGTTCTCACCCTTGCTCTATCAAATGCAGAAGTTTGCTGTGGCCTGATGTCGTCCGCAGGCGCTGGATCGAACAGTTCGTTCGACTTGTACGCAACACCTGGATACTTCTTGCGTCTGGGCATCGCCGGCTCCATCGGCCCTATATAAAGAAATATAATTCATTATTAAATTTGATCAATTTTGCATGAAACTTGAGTATTTCATTTATATAATTTAAGTTTATAACTTCATTTTATATGTTTACTAGTTTATGCCCTTGACTTCGCTCGCGTGGTCTAGTTTAAAGTCCAGAAATGAGAAAATTCCATAAAAACTTTCATCCCCTAATTTACCCCTTTGGGGTCGAATTTCGTAAAATCCTGCCTTAGTGAGCACCTATGTCCTAAAAAGGACCCGCATGCTAGGAGTTTCAAAAAAGAATTTGAAACTCCTAGCACTTGTATTAACGAAGTTTCTTAATAATTTTTCTTTCTCTAATTTAGCTCCTTAGGGGTGGAATTTTCTAAAACTCTCTCTTAGTGCTCCTCTACACTCCCTAAGAACTTTTCATTTCAAATTTCAACTTTCTACGCTCAGTATTTCGGCTGTATGTTGTCTGTCAGTCAGTCACTAAGTAATGCAAGAATTTTATATATACAGATTTTAAGGCACCACATAAATAGATACCAACTTGAACTCAACGATATAGATTCATTGGGATCCCCAAGTATCATTGTTTTATATGACTAAGGCCTTTAGTTACCATACAGTGATAAAAAAGATCTGTAACAGTAACCATTCTGGCTGGTTTTACTATAACAGTTTTATAACTTTCTTGAAATTTCTGTAGCACCAAATTTTGCTACTTCATGAGTCAAGAGTTGCCATCTTCTAAAATATAAAAGCCTGACTCTGCGCTGTATTATTATTGCCGGCCGAACATTTTGTGGTAAAAGCCGGACTACTTTCTTTAATATCAAACATAACTTTCTTAAAGCTTAACTTTTAATTTTATACCCTACTAACTTTTGCCCGCGACTTCGTCCGCATGGTATAGTTACTTTGGGCAGCATATATTTTCCAAAAACGCTGATGATGATGAAATTACCTTCATGTTTAGGTTCGAAGATACTACAACAAATATCCAATATGTTTCAGCACTTTATCTTTGGAAACTTTAGAGATATTAATCCAATCCAATTTGAAATACAGTTCTGAAGTTTACACAAAACTTAATCGAAAACGTTATCTATAAACTTTAGCATAAACGCCATCTAGTATAGCAAAGCGTACATTTCTTACTACATTTTATTTCAATACTCACTACTCTAGTATCAATACTTTAAGATTTAAAATGAAATGGAGAAATTTGTCAATTTTGTATAACCTGATGTGCTGTTAAATGTACGGCAAAATATTATCTATATCGGCAGCACTTTACGCTATGTTCTTTCTAAAAATTCTTGAATGGAAAAATTATCTCTGGAGTTATACAATAAAACATTAATGTGATTTTTAAAATTAATATATCCACATTTAGATTCCAATAAAAAATATTTCATTTTCCGAGTAACTTATTGTTAGTTGTGTAGTGGATAAGCGCCGCGGCCAGCGGTCGTTGTAGTTAAGCAACTTACGTAAAGGTCAGCCACGGGATGGGTGACCAAAAATGAGTATCTCAAGCTACTCTGTGCTTCGGAAGGCACATAACTGTCTGGAGCTAGGTCACAATCCTGTCTTTATCATATCCTGCGACATTCGTACGCTGAGAACGATAGTGACTCAATGCAAAAAATGCGATTTTCAGTAATGAGCGTTTCAAGGCAAAGAAATTGTAATCCGTCTTTCTAAACAACGTATCGTCACTACGCCACCTAGCAGTTTCTATGCAAACTACGCTCACAGGGATATTTGTATTTTAAAGTTTATACTTTACAAAGAAATATGGTGCCAAAAATAAAAAATACGTCGTTTTCGGTTAGTGACATTGTCATTCTTAACGTGCGTATCCATAAAACTATAAAAACTGGTGCACCTTTGCACTGTACTCCTACATTTATCTCACTGAACTTAATCAAGTAATCGTTATCCGTTGCTTAGTCACCCTACTTTTTATAATTTTTTGTATAACCTAAAAATTAAAATACATGTATCACAAAAACAATGCGACATTAGTGTCTCTTACCTCAGTAATATAGTTACTTACGTCTCAACATGCGTAACTATATTACGATATAATCACTTACTCTTGGCCACATCATAAAGAAGTCATACTATCAGCCGCCCATATCATTAAACGCAAATCATTCAAGACCTGGCCAGATGTCACATCATGATGTGAGGTAAATCTTAGGTTAAGACCTATAAATCCTCAATAAATTAATTATTGATGAAACGAAAAACACAAATCAGTGCAATTTCTTTAATCTAAACTTAGAGCAACATTTTTATGTTTTTGATTTAAAGCCTGCACAAAGTTCTTTGACCAAAATAATAGCACGATTTAGAATATACTCGTCATCAGCTGGCTGAAAAAATATTCTAGGTAAGATTTCTAGGCAAAAAAATCTGCGATTTAGAATTCATTTGACGCCATCTAGTAGTTCATAATATACATATATATAAAAAGTATAAAAAAAAATTATTTCGTAAACAAAATTGAATTTGAACTTTTTTATCCATTAAAATTTCAAAAATTGAATATTTACTCAAATACCAATTTTCATCGCTATACAATAAAATATTTTGTAAATAATATTAGGTAATTTTATTATAATGACAAATCAGATTGTAAACAATGGTTGCTATGGTAACATTTTGATTCCCCATTAAATCTTTTACTCACATTTTTATTCCTTTAAGTGCTAGTTTTCGGGATAAATATACCCATTACCTTCCTGGGGTCATAAACTACCCAAATACCAATTTTCATTGACAAAGGTCCACAAACAAAGAAGTTTCATACAAACTTTTTCAACCTTTTTGACCCCCTTCAGGATGGAATTTCCAAAAATCCGTTCTTAGTACGCCTCTACGTATTAAGGGAAATGTTCCCTCCCAATTTCACGTTTCTACGACCAGCGGTTAAGGCTGTGCGTTAACCACACATTAACCAATTTAATAGTAATAATCGAAAAATCTAGATAAAAACAGATTCGACTTCAAACTTTAAAAAAGAAAAAAAAAATACTTAAATATTGATTTCTTATAATAACTTATGTGAACACGGAATCTGTAAAGGGTCTGAAACGTCAATATAATTAAATGCTAACGCAATGAAACTGTATATAGTTGTTTCATTAATATTACTTATCTTAAAAGCGGAAAAATTTTTCAAGAACCATTGAAGTCGGGCTGAGGTTTTCTCAATTTTTCTTAAAAATTTAACCGCTCTTATTATTTTTCACTTTTTAAGTTTGAAGCCGGTTCCTTTTTATTAATGTCTTTATTTAATTATTTCGATAAAATTTAAATGAGACCACAACGGCCCATTAACCAGGCGAATAAAAAAAAATTAAGTCGATTTATAATTGGCGGAGTAATCGCGTAACAAACACACAAAAAACATACAGTCGAATTGAGTACTCTATACTACTATATAATACATACGACATACTACTATAAACTACAATTCGTTTAGACTACATAATGCTTACAATATAAATTTCGTTCATAATTCGTTGCTTATTTTCAAGTTTCACATGAAAAATTACAGTGTAATAACTAACACTGGTCAATATAATATAGAAAATAAACTTTCCTATACATGGGACTTTCGTTTATTTCAGATACTTCATAATGCGATAGCTTTACTAATTTTTTTTATACTTTATCGACTATTGTCGACTATCTTTCCGCCAGGGGCTGCGCCCGCCTGGTCCTGTGTTATACATACGAATCATCCTTTTGAACCAGCCTATCTGTGGTTGAAGAATAACATATAGAATAAAATACGTTGTGTAGTTTACAAGATTACAGCGCACAGACAGCGGGAAGCGACATTGTTTTATACTATGTATAGATTTTCGTCTAAGCTCTTTCTTAAAGCGAGAATTTCAATAAATTGATCACCTCTTGTAAGTGGCAACACATTGGGAGGGGTGGGCGCGGGCTGCTTCACCACACCCTGCTGCTGCTGTTGCTGCTGCTCCTTGTACTCGTGCCATCTGTACGTGCTGCGGTATTCGGAATGCAGCTGCAACAAAAATAGACTGACATGAAACGTCTGGTGTACTATTTCAAATATCTAGTGTTAGAGGGAAAAGAATCGACCTCCAAGCGCATCACTTATTTATCGACGACCATACGGGTAGCCCTAGCTGTCACAGACGTCATTAGAGTTTTGACATTGACGTTGGCTCTTTTTCGCGCCAACTAACCACGTTTGTTCTTGATCTAATTTTTGTTCGAATGTATTTATTGAGTATTAATCGGTTATTTTAATATTAGGGTTCACAATATATCAGGACTCGAAAAACATACGGTCTGATCTGCAGAACTACTTCTGATATCACGAAAAGTTTTCAGAAAAAACAATCACTTAAACGAACACAGCGCTATCAAAATATAAATAAAATCTACTTCACATTTTAGAAGGTATTTAGCTTCCCCATCTCAAGATCGGACTTTGGCCTAGAGAGTTTATGCCATCGGATGGGATTTAGTGAATTCCACCCGCGTTTTAACTAGCCTTCGAGTGTGCCCAAAATAAACATAGGTCGTAGTAGTTCCTCAAATTACACACCTAATATCGGTTGATGGAGTCAGCATGTGGTGTTCGGGCGACCTCAACTCACTATTTTATTGTCAAAAAAATGACCGAACAATGGAAGCAAGGAACAGAAGAATTTATATATTTTTATTATAATATTTATCAGATAGAATATTGTTCCGCGTACCGAATAGGCTCTGCACGAATATCAGCGTTGTTGTGGCACTTTCCGTGTCGCATCAGCACCAGCTGAGGCAGAGTCCTGGCTGATCTCCTCTACTTTCTTTTTTTTTTATATGTCATTATGTACCTTATTGTTTCTTTTTCTGTGTCTTTTGTGTCTTTTTCGCGCTTTATGTGTTTCTAATATGTATTATCTTGTTTGTGCCTTTGTGAGATCAATAGATGGTTCTTCTTCTTCTTAAATCGCCGGCATGCCGCACGCAGATTTCATCGACCACTTTAGATATGACATACAGGATAATCCGCTTCCGATTTTCCCATTAAACTTCTTGCTGACTAATGCAGATAGACCGAGTGATATCATTTGCTCGACGGTTTGTAAGGTTTTCGATATTATCCTTCGATAACATGCGATTAAGACCGTGAAAATTGTGTCTTGACTTCATACGACTTTTATAATTATTTATTTACGACACATAACAGATTAAAATTAATTTCATTATAAATAGTATTAACAAGTTACCCGATTCACTAAACGTGTTATTTTACAATTTAATTTTTCAATTTTTAAAATTAAGCATATGGAATATAATTAAATAGTATTGTTATCGACGAAGAGGGTGACGAGGAATGGTGTGGGCACGGGAGCGAAAATAAACAACTTACTTCTCAAAACTATATCGTCCACAAAACAAATATACTCGTCAAAGCACGTGACAATCAATAATGACCATATGTCAATACAAAACAAAAATTAAATAAAAATCAAATATATATAAAAAAACTATAAAAACAAAGACAACGTATAAAAATAGGTCGGTTCAGCTGACGATCCTCAACAAGTATTAAGGATTGTAATGATAATTACAACAAAGAAAGAGGTGTTATTGCGATATACATACGTCCAGCGTGAATATCCTATGGTTACGAAAACGGCAGTTAGTGTTGAACCGGATAAGCGAAAGAAGGTAAGGAGAGTCAACATATCCTTTCACTTTCATGTTAAGTCTTCAAAAAAGTGAAAATTAGGTTATACATTTCAATGACAATAGAGATATTTGTTTGGGATGCGGTTGTTAAGCAATTTTGGCTGATCATAGGATGGGTGACCAAAAATTCATTATATCGAAATATATTTATTATATCGAGATTTAAAAATTAGTATATAAAAACAATTTAAGTAAAAATTCGCATCAGGCTAAGGTTATTATATAAATATCTGATGGCGTACAAAAGCAGAATATTCGAGACACGTGGACTTCGTTAAATATGCAATGGTCGGCGATAATTCTAAGCACGAAGAATAGGGTGACTGTGATTTCTTAAATCCCAATGGAAAAGTGAGATAGCTGATACGAGGGTCAAACTGAAAGTTCTTAGAAAATCAAAAACTGATTACATTAGCCAGTTATTAGTTTTATTATATCTTTTCAAAATATTGTCCATTCACGTCAATACACCGCTGCATGCGATGGAACCACTGGGAAAAGCACTTTGCCCACTCGTCCTTAGGGGTCTCTTCAATGGCATCGCGATACGCAGCCACCGCTTCTTCAGCATTCATAAACCGCTTTCCTTTAAGTTTTTCTTTAATTTTTGGAAATAAATAAAAATCACAAGGCGCGAGGTCGGGGCTATACGGCGGGTGACCCAGTAATTCAACGTTTGATGTCGCCAAATAGTCGATCGTTCGCTTGGCGGTGTGCGACGAGGCGTTGTCGTGGTGAAGGAGGATCCTACTGCGAGGTCGTTTCTCTCGAACTTTTTCCAAGACAAGTGGCAAACAATTGGTAGTGTACCATTCTGCAGAAACTGTTTTTTGATCCTCTAACACAATTGTTGCAAAATGACCTATCCTTCCAAAGAACGAGGCCACCATTTTTTTTCCCGCACTTCGATCTCTCTTCACTTTAGTTGGCAACTCCTCGAAAGGAAACACCCACTGAGCAGATTGTCTTTTGGTTTTAGGATCATAACAGTAAATCCAGCTTTCGTCACCTGTTAGTATGTCGAACACAGCATTTGAGTCACCTCCGTTAAATCTTTCAATCATTTTACGACACCAATCCACACGATGGAGTTTTTGAGCCTCAGTCAAATTATGAGGTATCCACCGGGCGCAAAGCTTCCTGACCGCTAAATGTTCGTGGAGGATTTTGTGCACTTGACTCATACCGATGCCTAAGCTTGTCCGAATCTGTTGATAGGTCACTCTTTTGTCAGTCTCTATCATACGCCGCACAACACAGATGTTATCTTCAGTCGTCGCCGTAGAAGGCCGTCCCTCACGTAAATCATCAGTGAGATTAGTGCGACCACGTTTAAACTCATTAAACCAGTTGTAAACAGTCGCACGAGATGGGGCTTCATCGTGAAAGGCCAATCGTAGTCTATCATAACTTTCTTGTTGACTTAAATGACATCGAAAGTCATAAAAAATCATTGCACGAAAATTTTCTCGTGTTAAATTCATGATGACGTGACACAGACAATTTTCAATTTGCCGCCAAATCGTAAAACAAATGACAAATGAATGAAATATATACTCAGTAATATTGGCAAAGAGTTATATTTTCTACAATGTGACAGCGCTGTGATCGACACTGTATTTTTACAGAATATTTAAGTAGTGCAATTTAACGTTGTGATTATACTGTAAATCATAATTATTACGTTTCCCTTTTTTGACAGACAAATTAACACTGGTAAAATTTTCCTGACATGTTTCAAAAGCATGGACCCCTGCATAGACACACAGTAGACTGACGCTAATATGGCCCGATAACCTGATTTTTCCATGAAATTAGCAATTGCCATTGTATTTAAACGATATTGGATATTTTGATTTCTCTTACTGTGATTTCTCTTTCTCTTTTGATTTCTCTTTCAGACGTTATTCTTTAAAATATCTTCAGTATTTTTTTATTTTTTCACATATTCGTAGATGAGGTGTTCTATAGATTAATCCGAATAACTAAAAAATGAAACATTCTTACTCGTAAGTCCCTTTTATTGTCACTCATAAGAATTTTACTACAATGTCCCATACAAATATGTGGAAAATGAAAATACATTCTTTCAATAAAGTTGTGCCAATAAAGTTTCATATCGGTATAAACAAAAACATTTCTATAAGCTGTTTTAAGATAAGTAAATATATTTCATTTTATAACTCGGAAGTGACAACCATGTTTTATTATATCTTACTCAACCTCAGAGAAGGAAATTACGTGAGCCCATAAAGATTGACCTAAAACAAAATACGATTGCGGCAGAATTTGCGTAAAAAAAGTACAAATTTGCTTACCTAAGACTAAAAAAGAGTTTTGTGGATTTTAGAACAAAAATGTGGAATTTTATAATGGGGACAATTTCACCCATTTATGGCATTCAGTAACGTTTATAATTGCAATCGCCTTCAGAACGAATGATGGTTTGAATGAACAAGAAACATAATTAAACTTAAAGTAATATTAGCCGCTAACGCTTGCTTTCCACCATCATCAGTCTTTTACGTCACCAGTGTAAGGGCTTAGGCCTTCATTATGGATAGTTAAGGAGTATCGGCCATGACCCTCCACGCTGAGCCAAAGCGGATTGGATTAATGATTGTAAATGTAGCAGGAACCAACGGCTTAACGTGCCTTTCGAAGCACGGAATAGTTCAAGATAATAATTTTTTGGTCACCCATCCTTTGACAAACCCTTGTGAAAGTTGCTTGACAATAATGATCGCGGACTGCGAAGCTTATTCACTACGCCACCGACCTACTGACTGCTATTAATGCTTGCCTTAAATAATTCCAATTAATGCCAAATTAGCGATATTGTTCATTCAATACCTTTCAAACACACATCGCGACCGCTAGCACATGGCACATAGTTGTAGCGTAAAGCTCGGGAATTCTTTTAAACTGAAAGGTATTCCGATACATTTTAAAATTAGACAACATCACCTAGATTACGAAAGTGGAATACTTAATTTAGGTAGGTAATCTTTGCGCGGTGTATGGCCCTCGGGCCGATACCGCGCATCGCCTACCATGAGAGGGACATCGCTGAGTTTTAGTGGGTAAACTCCTGCTTCTTGTCTAGCCCCTACGGGGGTGGGGCCACAGGAGGAGTCCCACATCACCCGTGGAGCCCGCGCAGGGTGAAGCGGGTATGCGTAATGCATTTCTCAGCGTCAAAAAAAAAAAAAAAAAAGAAAAAAAAAAAAAAAAAAAAGGTAGGTAATCTTTAGTATAATGTTTGTATCAGCAACTACCACTAAAGCCTGGCATCAAGACGCGTCACCGTAG